TCTGCACTTGCTATCCCCTTCTTTTGTTTCAAAAACAAATAAATATGGGCCATCCAGAGAAGTTCTTTGTCTCAACCCACAGGGAATCTCTAATTCTGTTAGAGGGTTTTCATCACTCTGGAACCCTAAAATCATACCATTTGTCTCTTTTATTTAAGCTGTTCACTGTCTACTCGTTTAGGAGGTCATGGGCCTGATTAGTCCACGATGTATGTTCTCCCACAGTACCATACTATTTCTATGTTATGCTTATTACTATGAGTAGCCTTGAGAACCAGAAAACTGTTACTGCGCCCCTAATAACTAGCAAAGTCTTTGGTATGCATTCAATATATAATAAAACTGACCAATAAAGGCGAAGAAGAAATTGCCCGAGACACCTCTATCCATATTCAATCTCTTAGTAGCTAGAAAGCTATACAAGTTACATATCCAACTTCTCCAAAACTATTATACAAATATAAATATATATATATATATATATATATATATATATATACATTAAACACAACCATGTTAACTTTTTACCCAAAATAAATTGGGAAAGTAAGAAAATCACTTGTTCATGAATGCCTAATTTCTTCATACCCATATTCAAGATTAAAATAGAATTTCGTGTATGTATTCTAATGTCCTCAGAAAAACATGCATCCAAATATAAAGGGTTAATCTCCAAGTAGCATTCACTAGAAATATTTAATGTACTTTATTTTCAAAGATGAGATGACCAAATGAACAGTAATATAAAATCTTAAGAGACAAATGTAGATCATGCTTCACCATATAGCATAACATTGATATTGTTACCAATGAATATGATCCACAAGGACATCTTAACTTGAACAGTTAAGACTGAAGAGGGCCAGTGATGTAGCTCAGTGGCACAAGTGCCTACCCGCCAAGCACAAGGTAGAGTTCGATTCACAGTATCCCCCCCAAAAAAGGAAAAAGACTCAACTCAAGAAAATGTGTCTTACTTGTTCATTAACTTTCTTCTCTTTATCCAATTCCTTTTCTATGTCCTCCAATTCTCTGTCTTTTTGTTCCAACTGCTTTTCAAGCTGGCGAATTTCATCACGTAAAAACCGAGTGTCCCTTCCACCTGCAGACTGCTGAGCCATCTTAAAGTGAAAAAAAAGTTAGTTTCATTATATTGGGAGGTTAGCCTGAATCAACAAGCAAATAAATGTCTTTAAATTTTCATTATGGTTCTGCACCAAATGTTTAAAATATTAGCTTAATGACTACTTAAAAAATACCTAAAAGTTTTATTACACAGCCTTACAAAATTTCAGCTTTCCTGAATCAGAAAGTTATAAACAATTGATTGCTAATCACTCAGACTGTTACAACTACTCAGGCAGAACCCAACGTTGATTTCTTTACTTCATCATCACTTCAGTACTTTCCTACCAAGACCTACAACTGCTCTACCTGGTGAAACACATGCAAAGAATCAATTCAAACTGCATAAGCTATTTCACATGCATGTTTATTGAAAGTATTTGAAATTTTCACAAGAGCAAGGAATCAGCAGAAAATAACTATGTCATCTAAGTTCAAAAAGAATCAGGACTAGAATGCAAATCTAACTGATTCTTGACCCACAATGCACCAGTCCATTCTCCATCCCATTTCAAACTTTACCTGAAATTCTTAGAATTCAACTATACCATCTACTGTTATTTTCATCAAATAATCTTCAATCTTGCAGCTTTCAAGCACAATACCTAAAACATAAACCTTTCTATACACATCCACTTTTACTTCTGTCCTATTACAAAGGAAGAGTGTCTTCTTACTTTCAAAGGCTAATTCCTTATCACAATCTGGATTCAGATCTGGAATCTTCATGTATGTAGTTCCTTAACAATACATTCATACTTTAGCCCTTGGCTTCGTAATAAAGGACTTTTACAGCCCTCTCTGTCATTATTTCTCAACTATCATCCACTCCACTCCCTCTCAACTATTAGTAATTCTTCTCTAGACTTATCTCTGTCTAGCTGTTAAGGGTTTCATTTTGTTTGCAAATGAAATACTTAATCCCTGGTAGAATCCAAAGCATGTCGTATGCTGAACAAATAACTGAGTACATCATCATCCTGATAATTTCCCTAGACAATTCTAAAACTCAAAAATAATTCCAAATAATAAAATAAGAGAGAAATACAAAACGACATACCTCTAGTTCATTTTCTAGTTTCATTACTTTCGATTTTAGTTGATTTTCTATTTTTGAAAAGAAAGTCAAATATTTCAATTGATTAGATGTTTCAAAAAATTAAAATGACTTTCAATAAAACATTAAAATTCTCTTAAGACTCTATCATGATTATACTACTACAGTAACATAAAAGAAAGTTATTACATACCAGATCCATGAAATAGGAATTCTAGAAATGTCTTTAAAATAAATTGAATACACACATTTTATAGAGGTTAAATCTAGTTTTCTATTGCTTAATGATAAATGGAGTTTGTGAACAGTAAACTTTTTTTCAAGGCATTTACCAAATTTTGCTTGTTCTTCTCCTGCTTTTTCAACTTCTTCCAAAGCTAGCTCTACTTCTTGAGCTTTCATCTAAACATTAACAGAAAAAAAAGTTGTATTTATATACCTTTATGCTTTTATGTGACCACTAAAAATAAAAATTCTGTTTCAACTGCTATGCCAATCTTAACAGCAACAGTGTCACATAGAAACACGCAATAATTCGTCTTGAATAAATGAATGATTTTCTCACTTGAGGCTATAATTTCAAGGTCTGCAACAGCTGAAACACTTTGACTCTTCTCCCTCAAAACTTACATCCATCATTACTAATTCTTCTTTGTAAATATCTTTAGTACAATATTTTTTTTCTGTTCTAATTATTAATATTTGTGCATAAATTTATGTTTCACCTTCCTCACAATGACATGGCTCATTAGCTGCAATTCCTTTCGACTTGTCTTATGTAACCTACCCAGTTTTGTCTTGCTAAGGCACATTGTTATATATATGAATTATGGTTCAAAAACTGTTACTGCCTTTTCAGCTGTGGTGAGCATAAAATACACCTTTAAGGTCCTTGATGGGTTATCTCCAACCACTACTTCAACACTTCTATCTTTAACTTGCTATAAAATTTCTGCACTTGTTTGTTCAGGTGCAAAGAGTAAGTCTTAATATTCCTATTCCTAACATTTAAGATAACCACTGATTCTAGAACATTCTCGTAGCATCTTACCAGTGCCTTGCACTTAACCTGAACTACTGTTCAATTTTGTTTATGAAAACTTCCCATATGGCTTAAATCATTTCCTCCTCTGCTGACCTATAATCCTTGCGGCAGTCATGGTTTAAACGTACCTGTGTTTCCCCCGTACATTTCTTTTAGAAATTTTAGAGTAGAAACTAGTTATGTTTTGATACCAGAATTCTGAATTCACATGTGAAGTTAATTCTTGAGTGGTAATCTATTGATTACCAAGTACTTTCACAGAAATTACCTTACATAAAAACATTTCTTAAACCTCCTCTAAGAGTCTAATTTACTATTAAAACCTCCTGCATACAAACCTTCATTAACGATTGAGTAATCCTGAAAAGATGTATCATATTTTCTTGATTTTCATTTTTTAGGTCATTTACTTCCACCTAAGTAAACAAAGAAGGGAACTATTTTATAATCTTTACGCAAAACCTAAGAACTTTTCCAGCAGCATTTTTTAAATGACACAACTCAATCATACTTGTAAATACACAATTAAGTACCTTGGATAAGGAAATCAATAAATTATCTGCCAGTTCTTCCTGCCGAGGTAGTTCATCTGGGTCAATTTTGATTAGTTCTTTAAAGTTTATGCTAGGTGGCATCTTGACTCCTTTTACTGTGCTCCACCTTCTGTAACAAAACAGGTAGGTATCAGCATCCTGAAGGTAAATATTACGGTGTTTTACTGTAACATTACAACGTTCTAAGATGTTAGCAAAGCGCTTCGGGTCCTTAAGAGCAAGGCGGATACGTGTGCAAAATAGCTCTGATCAAAATTATAGCACACAGCAAAAACTCAGTCACACTGTACCAGCTAAATAACAGAGGGCGACTTCTTTGCTGAAATTTGTAAGTCAAACTAAGCTTCTGAGTCCGTAAGCGAACACTTGAGGGGTGCCAAGCACAGGGAGAATGAGAACGACTAAAAATGACCCCTGATTCTCAGAAACAGAAATTGTTTTTAAGTGTGCGAGTAAATGACGGAAACGGACTACAGTTTTGCGAAAGAAACCGGCAGTGCAGCGAGAACCCGGAGGATCGCGGTCCAGAGGCCACAAGGGGCCTCAGGGTCCAAGGCTGAAGCACCAGCGAGGGGAAGACTCGCAGCCCTCTCTTACAAGGGGCCACCCACCTAGACCACGCCTGGCAACCAGCGGCAGTCCCACATCCACCGCCACCAGCACGCCGCGCCCGCCTGCAGTCCCGACCGCCGCCCGGCGCCGCTCCACGCAGACTCTGCGTCCCGCCAAGTCGCGAGCCAGTAAAAGCGGCGGCGGCGGCTGCTAGGCGACACCATTCCCTACCCAGTTAAAGCCAGAATGAGGCCCCGGATGCCAGGAAAGCCTACATTTCACGACTATGAGTGCTGCTTTACGTTTACAACCTCCTTCGGAGGTCTGGACTCAGATTTACAGACAAGGAAAAGGCGAGCGGCGAGGACTCAAATTCCCACAGTGCAATTCTGTCTCGCGGCTGTGCATGCTGGGAACTGAAGTCCCTGAAGGGAGGTGGGAAGGCGTTCCCGGCGTGCAATGCAAGAGGCTGCGACTGTGCTAGAGAGGCTGGAGCGGGCCTGCGAGGCGGGAGGTGCAGGGTCCAGGGCGCTTATGTGCTGGGGTCTCCAGCGAGCTAGAACATGACTGTGCTGCGGTGGTGTCACTTGCCGGGCCGCCCTTCCTGAGGTTTTCCTAAGCCATCCGCTGGCGGACCGTTCCTAGGTGAGTTGGGATGTCGGTCGCGCTGCGGGGAACGGAGGGGTGAAGTCGAGACTTTGCGACGCTCCAGCCCGTGAACTGATGGGCCTGGCAGGGTGCTGGAGAGGTGGGGACCACGCCTTCTCGCTAGACTCTGTACCGCCTGGCATGAGAAGCGGGGTAGAGAGGAAGCTGTCATTTCCATTGATACTTCGGCCGAGGTCGGTTTGGGGTGAGTGAGGAAAAGATAGGGGCCGTCCCCTATCTCAAACCCCCGCGGGGTGAAGTGCTGGCGACACGGAGAGAAGCTTGAAAAGGTGCCATGGCCAAGGGCCAGTGCGACTCAGCCTCAGCGATCACCTCCTGCTGCTGTCACCGCCTTGATTACCTGCGTTTTCCTGAGATGAGAAAATCCTCTCAGGTATTAACCACTCCTTACTCAGACAAGTTCTGCTCATCTCAGCTATTCTAGACTCTTGTACAGCACTAAATAACTTTCTTAAAATGCCGAAGGTTTAAAATCTAGGCGACCTTTCCAACTATGTGGACCTGTGCCTCTTAATGCTATCTATGTTTTGATTCTAATTGACAGTAAATTTTCCTTTAGAAAATAATTTTTTAAACTACGTTTTGAAATAAAATAGCTCAATAAAGTACTGATTTTGTGAGATAATTTAAAAGACTTGAAAGAAGGATATGTGTTTATTCCTTTTCTGAAAGGTTGTATGTCATGATGTTGTCTCGTTTATTCTTAAGAATCATCCATAAAATGGGTGCTGACGTTGTCTTCCTTTTCCGTCTTAAGTTTGGGAATTGATTTAGTGTGACAACACAGATCCTTCTGGCTAGAGGTCTGCTATCCTGCCCCCTCAGACATTCTGGAAACCAGGATTAGTAAAGTATCTTTGTTAAAGATTTTGAATTACATGTTTTTCACCGTCAGTGTTTTAAATTTATAATTTAGCAGAGAATGGCAAAGATGAATTTAATATTCCTCAAACATGCATGATGTCATTACTATTTTATTGCTGCATATTTCATGTTAGGAGTTTAGCTTTTTTAACTGTAGCATTTTATTTTTTTCATTTATTTTCTGTTTACTTAGTTTTGTTTGTATTGAATTTTTCTACCCCTACTTGCCTCACTTGCTTGTTCATATTTATATTCTTAGCCATCCAAGATAGTTGGTCTTAGATTGGTCTAATGGTAAATTTTGTTCTCATTTTTTTCAAAATGAGAATAAATTTGGAGAAGTTAAATAATTCTCTAATAACTAATGCAGCCAAAACAAAATGCCTAATTTTTTTAACTCATCTTAAGAATTTTGAGCCCATACATTATGCTAGACACTAGTGATACAGTAGAAAAGAAGTTATCCATGGTCTACTTCCTTATGCTTTATAATTAGCTATCAGGAGAGTTAACTCAAGTCCTAGTTCATTAACTCATGATCTAACTTTGAGAAATACAGCTCTCAAACACTCCATTATTTGTTAGATTTTCTGCATCAGCCAATTTTCAGTGAGATGAATTATAAATACCCTTGTTACAATATATCACTTTCCTGGACTTGCCTTATTTCTTACCTTCTTTATGATCACTTTTACCTTACTAAAATTACCTCATCGGGTAGGCTTGCCTTTTATAAAAACTACTTCTGTGTCTGTACCAGCTTATATTCCTTAGACGATACTTCCTTTTCTCACTTATCAAGAACATGAATGGTAGCCTAGTTTTCCACTGTTTAAAATAAAGTGTGACCTTAAATTTAGTATCTACTGTGAACAGTAAAGATTTTCTTTAGCCTTGCTTTCAGTGAAAGAAATTAGTGTGCAACAAGCAGATACTTGTCTTCCTTCAACATGGAGAGACTAGAAAAACTAGTAGGAGTCAAGGTGAATACAGAGTTTGCAAACTGGTGGCCAAAGTTATACATTTTTTTTTATGCTTCATTTCATTTTTTTTTCAGTGATGTTTACTTACATTTGTACAAACAACACATAATGATTAGATTCATTGTGGGGAATTGGGACATGTGTATATCAAATCTTAATTCTTTTTAGGCTTCCTTTCTCCTCCTCCCTTTTCTTGGTCTTCTTCCCATTTGCAAAAGATCTATCTCCCTATTTCCTATCACAAACTTTGAAATGGTAAAATGTGATATAATCATATGAAAATTCAGGGGATATAAGCACAATGAAAATTTCCCAGGAAAATGAGCTGGAAGGACTTCTTAGGCGAATTATTTCCAAATTCATATTAAAGTTTCCCTGGGTTTACCTTTTCCACACTTACATTGTTAAATTTTTACAAAAATTGATCACTAATGCATTTGTATTTGAATGAATTGCCGTTTATGTCTCTGTAATGTACCTGATGAATGGTCTTCAGCTGCACTTGAACTGTGTAAAGAGACATTTTTGTTAGTTTCCCATCCCCTTGGACTATTATGTGTGAATGTGCTTCAGTGCTTAGGAAAAAACTAGAAGTTTTTACATAGTGGCCTGCTGCATTGCTACAGCAATGGTAACCCTCAGTGGGTCATGTCTTCCTTTGTTAATACTCTGATACTTAACACTTTTCTTCCTCTCCCTGTGCCTTCCATGTGATTCTTGGACAGAGCCTAAGATGGCTCCACAACTGAGTTTATGACATGTACTAGGACTGACTCTCTCCTTTTCTCTCATATTAAGATCCCTTGGGAAATCTTAAAATTCTGTTATCCTAGTCTTTCTGTAACCCTTCCTACTCACTTCTGTTTGATAAAAACAGAAGACTGGTTACTTACAAAAAAGGACTTGTGCATTGGGTCTTGCCCTCTTGCTGCCCTGTGCTCACCATTTACAGAAGCTCAGACTAATCTATTAAAATGTGACTATAAGTAGCAGAGACTGAGTTTCAAAGCTAATGCTTCTACTCTGTAAATATTTATCTCTAATCAAGCCACAAGATAGTTAGAAGTACATGAGGGATTCTAGGCACAACCAACAGAATATATGTGTGTATCAAAAAGGATGTTTATGCCAACGAATTATCTTAAAGGATTATAAAGCTAGTAAACCCAAATCAGATTGCCAGACTGGAAACTTCAGCAAGATCTGATGCTGTAGTCCTGAGGCAGAATTCCTTCTCTTCAGGAAAACTTTAGTTTTGCTCATAACATGATTCAAATGATTAGATGAGGTCCATCCACATTATTGAACATACTCCCTTTAAAGTTGACTGATTGTTCACCTAAATTTGTGTTTAATTGACTATTACTATAGTAAAGTTTAGGCAAGTTAACATTTAAAGCTATCACAGTGGTCATCATGAATAGTAAACAAGTTCTGTCAAGTCAATGAATATTTTCACCTCATTGACTAAACTGACTTGTTGCTTCCAAAACTCATTTTAATGGTTTGCACACGAGCAAAAAGAAACACCTTTTCAAAGATTCCCCAGAAGAGCTTAATATGAAAGAAAGAGCAAACAGCTAAGGCGTGTTGTAAAGACGTGCTCAGAAACTCAGCTGTAGAGCTGTCTGATGTTCTACCCAAAAGTGTCATTTATGGGAGTAAAGTTTAGAGAAAGAGGTGATGATTACCAAGAAAACCTCACCAAAGCACAGCTCAATATTGGCTGTTTCTAAAAAGAGAATAAATTTTTTGATGAAGTTGAAATAGAGATAAAAGGAATTTGAGGTGTCAGTCTCTAGTGATTTGGGTTTCAGTTGCCAAATCAAGCACCTGTGAGAGTCTCATCATACAGTGATCAGGTAAAGGCTTTTTTTTTTCCCTTCTTGGCCTTTGTTTCCTTTTTGTTCAACTACACTGTATTCAAAAGCCATTTTTAACAGAAATTTAAGGTGCTACTTCTAGATGAAAAAGAGAAAAGGTAATACCCCTGTTCCGTGACAAGCAGTTTCTCATTTTCAGTGAGCCCAAAGTAGGGGCAGAAAATAATTTTCAAAGTTAGAAGCAAGTTCAGCGAGTTTCGATCATTACAGTAGAACTGAGCGTTTAAGTTATTGAATGAAATTTTACAAATTAAGTAACTGTAAAATATGACCTAGCTATTTAGAACTCATGGGATTTGTAAAATTTATTTAGCCTATATGTTTTAACCTGGACTCATTAAAGTTTAAGCCTAAGAATCTTTTATAAAGTAATACATCATTTTTTAGTAACAGGTAACTCAAGTTGAGATAACTAAACTCCCATAATCAGCTAATATAAAACTTGATTAAATTGCCTTAAATTGAAACTACATTTATCACTAGAATATATTTTTATTGAAATACTTTGTATAACTAGTGTAAGTCCATCTCAATATAGTCATACATCACAATGTTGGGACTGTCTTCTGAGAAATAAGTCTTTAACCTGTTTTGTTACTGAATGAACACCATAAGGTATATTTATGCAGGCTAAAGTGATTACACATCCCTGGACAGTATAATCTTACGGAATCCCTACCTTACATGTGCTCTGACATGATCCAAACATAATACATGGCTATACTTCAGTAACTTTTAAGAGTATCTTACTTACTTTCTTCATTGCTGGAAGAAAATACCCAACAACCACATCTTAAAGGAGGACAGATTTCTTTAGCTCACATTTTGTGGAGGTTTCAGTCCATAAATGGGCCGGCTCCAAGGCAGGCTGGCAAGGCAGACAGCCATGGTGGGGCAGAGCTGCTCATGGCGTAGCAGCAGGGAAACAAAGAAAATGAAAGTTAAAAACATTTCTATTGTTGGTGAAAAAATAATGTCATTCCTGTTTTTTGTTTAGACTCCTTTGTTTCTAGTGTTGTAAAACTGTATAGCATCCTGTGCCCAGCTGGAGAAGTTCCATAAATATCTACACAGACACGTAGTTCTCCCTTTTTTGTTGTTGTTTCACAATGACTAGGAATTGACCCAAGTTTGTACCCAGGCTGTGCTTTCAGTGACCCCTCTCAACCAATCCAGCCTCCTCACAGCAAGTTATAAAATCACCAGTGTCACCAGTGAACCAACCTATCAATAATTATTGTACCACCATGGTCCAGTCATCTTTCAAATACAAAGGCATCTAGATGTAAACCAGTGCATAAAGCTAGCAAATTTGACTTAAAATTTTAACAACTCCCAAGTTCTCATAAACACTCCAATGTTGTTTATAAACTTAACCAAATTCGTATACCCTTCAACTAAAAATCCTAAATGCAGGAAATGGGTAGCGAAGAATTTATGCATTGTGCATCATTATATACTTTAATTATGTTTATGAAGATAGTATATCTGTCCTCAGTATATTAGATTCTATAAATATTATGAATATGCAAAAAGTCTCTGTGTGTGTTGTTCCCAAGCCTAAGTTTAATACATTAAAACCAAAAGTTCAGTCTTTTCTTTTTCTTTCTTAGTTTTAAATTTTTCCATTATTAAAACATTTGTCCAAACATTAGTTTGTCACCCTAAGTGAACGATATTACTAGGATGGGGATCTGAGGTTATTTTATGGGAAAGAGGTGTTGGACCTGCATACAAAGTGTGATTTCTATCTGTGCAGTGATGGATGCTTGAGGGTTTTTTGTTTGTTTTTCTAAATTATAACTTACTGTACTGCATATATGCAGACATATCTGTATATGTATAGACATTTGATTTGAGAGCATATTTATTACTCACTTCAGTGAGTTTAAACACAGCAGGTAGTTCTAGTGATCATACCTCACAGGTAATTCTAGTGATCATACATACCTTTTGGACCTCCGGTGTGGAGTAGTTGGCAGGCCTGCTTGGATGGCTGTCATTCTGGAGAATCCTTTTGTTGCTTTCTTAGGTTGGATTCTACTCCCCAATTGCCCTGTCTTTCTGTTTTTTAGTATACTCTGTCATTTCACTGGAAATCTTTTCTTAGTTTCCTAAAAGGACATTGAAAGTAAAATTTAAAGACTTGAAAGACTTAAAATACTTTTATTCTGTTTTCCTACTTGGGAAGTTAAAAGAGAAGTATAAACTTTAACAAATTTATCTGTTCCTAGTCCTATTGTCTAAGATCCTTATAATTAGTTGCTGACATTGCTTCTAGCAGGAATGTAGGAATCAAAATAATCTATCAGTCATTCAGTCAATCAGCTTGTCCCTCTCAGATTAAGAATCTCTCCTGCTCTCCTCTGTGTCCTTTGCTAATCCTTTAACTTTTCCATCTTCTAAAATTTACTACGCTCTCCTCTGCAGTTGTCTTTATCCTTACACATTTATGCCCTTCCTCATCTAAAATACTTTCACTGTCGTTTTACTGTGGGACTGGACAAGAGCTGAAGCAAATACTTGTTCGCTCTCCATCTTTTAATCAGGTGTATCACCCCCACCTCCTGGGTATTAGTAAGAATGTGTAAATCTATACACTTCAATGATGATAATGAGTTCTGGATTCAAGGAAAGCCCTTACATAATTTTTCTTTTAGGTGAAAACTCTCTGAGGAGGATAGCTGATTTCACTCCTGTGGGGTTTTTTTTGGATAAGGTTTTACAGTTTTTGTAATGTCTAATACATTGTGGAGTCTTCCTAAAGATACTTCCATTTTTTCTCATATATATCCTTTTTATATATGTCCTTATATAAATTTTACTTTGTATTTTTAAATCTGTACCCACTCTCCCCACATAGATAGGATATTTTACTGCTGAACAGAGTTTTACTCTGTTTCATATTCTTCCTCTTTGATCTGTCCATGACTCCAGAGGTGTATCTCAGATCTCAGATCTTCTAGCTCTGTGAAGTACATATTTTTTTGTTGTTGCTGTAACAAATTTTCATGAATGTAATAGATTAATATAGCTCATATATACGTAGTATTTATTTTCCCAAAAAAACTTTTAGGCTCTCCTGCAGCATGTCATACTAGTTGTTTGGAGTTATATATCTGCTTCCCTGGTAGCCTAACCTCTGACATTTTATCACTATCTCCTTAGCTAAAGATATTAGGTCCAAAGATTACATGATATATTATCAAGGACTATACTAAATGTATAAAACACATTTGAAGGAGCAATTAATTGAGTTAGTGAATTGTGCCTTGGGAATATAGAGAAATTATTAGTTAATCCTTTTTAGAAGTGGAGGTATTGGGACTGAGCTTTTTCTGAAACTGTTTTGTTTTAGTTATCCACTAAAATTGTACTAACTTGAGAAAAATATTTACCTCATTTTCCCTTTTTTCTTCCCAGTTTTTATCCATAAGTATATTCAGAAAAAATGGCTGATATTAACTTCAAAGAGGTGACCTTAATAGTAAGTGTGGTTACTGCCTGCTACTGGAACAGCCTGTTCTGTGGTTTTGTTTTTGATGATGTTTCAGCAATACTGGATAATAAAGATCTGCATCCATCTACACCTTTGAAAACTTTATTTCAGAATGATTTCTGGGGAACCCCTATGTCTGAGGTAAGCAAGTACTTGTTAGATGAGATACAACTTACGATAAATTGAAAAGGAAGTTAAAGATGTAGTTATCTTTAAAGCCTTGATTCTTTCCTTGACTGGTATGGTGGCTTTTTAAGAAGTAATATATATGTGTAAAAAAATCAAATGCAGTGTCTTTATTTGTTAGTAATTTTTCTTTTTTTTTTTTTGTCCTGTGTGTCAATCACAAGAGATGACTAATATATTTACCCATTTTAAAATATAACTTTAATATAAATAGACATTATGGGTAAGATATTAAGTACCTATATTGTAAGTTTCTCTGTAGGAGGAAACAAAATAGTTCATTAAAAATTAGAAGTGGCATTTCTCTTAGTTAGTAGTTATTTTGGTAACAACTGTTACCAAAAGTTTTTTTTCATTTTTCTGAGAATATCTTTATTTTGAAGGTCAGTGTTAAACTGATTGTTCAGGATTAAAATTATTGACTTGGAATCATCTTGTCATATATTAGTTATATGAAAATGATGAGAAAACAGATTTTAGGCGACAAGTCATTTTGTGGTGTATAAAAAGGCAGATTTTAAGTAAGTTATTACTGAAACGTAACATGTAATACATTAGTACTTTGTTTCTCTGTTATCATTTGTGACCTCTTTCTTCATTCCCCAGATTTGGAAGCTTCTCAAAAATAGGATAAGATCTTTCATTCTTCTGGTCATAAGCACATAACAAATATTTTTTTCTTATTAAATAAATGACCTTATTTTCCTATAATCTTCCTAATCTCATCCTTTAGAAAACAAAATCTTTTGATGAGGAGAAAATGTTATATATCATGTACACCCCTCTTCCTTTGTTCTCCAGAGACCAATACATATCTATGTCCATTCCCCAGCCTATGTGGTAACTGTTGTGATTTCAGTCATTAGGATTGAGATTTTTAACCTAAAATTTAGCAGACCAGATTGAAGAACCTAATACAAGGTAGCATATTGTGGTGTCAGCACTCTGTTTTGTGATTTTCTTCTCCTCTTCGTGGACTGAAAATTTTATTTTGTTCAAAGCAGACAAAGAAAAAATCATTAATATGCATGCAGAATCAATGAACAAGCTACAGAATAAAAGTAGGCAATTGTGAAATTAGGGAAAAATTATAAATGATATTTACTTCTCAGGAAGTTTCACAGTGAGCCTGGAATTAGCACAAAGATCTAACGATTGATGTCATCAAGTAATAATAGCCTGAAATCCAGCATGCATGTGTGTGCATGCATTTTATGCATGTCTGTGTTTGTTCTTGTGTTTCGTATGTGGATTTTTGTCAGTGTGCCTCTTAAGGAACATTTTGGGCTTAGGATATTCTCCTAAGTCATATGAATACTACCATATTAGGGATCTCCTCTTAGTGTCTATCTCTTTATCTGTTTGTAGATACATAAAACACTGTTAATTTATACTTCAGTGGAGCACAACTCGGGGTACAGAGTACAATCTGCCCAAGACATTTTAAAATTTGTTAAGACTTTATCCTAATCTGCTGCATCAGCTCATTCCTCAGAGTAGGATGTGAACTTCCATATTTCATGTCTTGTTTTGTTTGTATTTATCTGGGTGTTTGGTTGTTACTTGGGGGGAATTATTGGATGAAGTTATTTGTTTTAAGTCTTCTAGATGATCCGTATAGCCATGGCTATGCCTTTGTGGTATTTGGCCTCTAAGGAACCTTGTATTAAGGGATGTTCTGCAGAAGTTTTTTTGCCATCCTTATATTGAGCATTGAACTGTTATTTATTCATTATGTTTATGTTTGTTTCCAGTGTCAGCCAGGATGAATAATGAAGTTTTTCTTAAATATGCATGATCTAAAATAAAAATGATCTAAATTATTTTCTTCATAATAGGCCTAGCTATTTTACTGTATTTTTACAAAGTAAACCTTATATAGCCAGTTGATGACTGTCTTAAAAAAGGAGTCTATTTAAAGAGTCCTAATGAGTTATGAAAATAATTATATTAATCTTTTTAGTTGATCATTACCTTTGACATATATATATATGTAATAGAACTATAATAAGCAGTTTTATATAGTGTAACATAATGTGTTTTTCCTTCTATTTTATGGTTTAGTCCTTTCACCTGACAAAGGTGGAGTTAACAGTAACAGTTCAGGGATGCAGGATGTTTCTACCATCTGTCTTCTAGTACAGATCTCGTCAGTTCAGTAGAGGGCCTTAAAAATAATTTTGTATTCCTGAGATGAAATTTGAAATATGAACTAGAATTAACTAAAAAAGAAAGATCATTCTAAATAGATGGTACGTCATATATGTAATCAGTAAAAACAGATATTAAAATCTTCATTTTAAAATGAGGAATATTTAATCCTTGAGTTTACTGATACTGCCTAGTAAGGAAGAATAGGCTTAGGTCTATACACGTACCAGAGAGTAATACCAGAATATGGTAAGAGGTAAAAGCACAAAGAATTTAGGTATAAGACTATACATAAACTTAACAGAGTGATAGTTTATTAAAGTCTGCATTTTATTCTTAAATCTAGTTTGACTTTGCTTTTGAGTGAAAGGTATTTGTGGTTAAATGTGATGTCAAAGTTACAAATAATTCAATACTTAACATGAAACTTGGTTTACTGTTAAAAAGAGAATCCTACAACAAAAAGATTCTATTTTCATATTTTTAAAAAGTTTTTATGCCTGTTCTTCTCTTTGGCATTTGGAGATTTTTATTTTAATATATACATGTTTATACATTATGAATAAAACATAAAATAACTAGGGAGTGTCTTTTTGAATCGTCACTGTTTGGACTGATCTAGTTCTATAAACTTTGGCATTGGCAGTAGGAAGGCTGATTTAGATAGATCCTAGGTTCCAATTTGATCAATGGCACCATTGTTCTACCTTTTTATAAAATATGAGTAAGAGGAATATCAAATGTTCTTCCTCTGGTAAACTATCTGACCATCATGTATCAGGAGAAACTCTTTTTTTGTAATAAGGGAACAAAAACATCATAAGCTTACACATTATAGTGCTATCTTTTATGTTGTCTTGGGGCATTTCATTACATTATTGTTATTTCACAGCCAAATGCAAGTATTTTCACAGTAAAAACAATCACTAGCTTTTGTACCCTGAATGACCAAGTAACTTTATTTAATAATCAGTGCTTTTTCTTCCTTGTAGGAGAGAAGCCACAAATCCTACCGACCCTTAACAGTTTTGACATTTCGCTTAAATTACATGTTTAGTGAACTAAAACCAATGTCATATCATCTTCTGAATATGATTTTTCATGCTGTGGTTAGTGTGGTATTTCTTAAAGTCTGCAAGCTTTTTCTGGACAACAAGAGTGGTCTGATTGCTGCTCTGCTTTTTGCAGTGCACCCCATACATACAGAAGCAGTAAGTAAAACAGTAATTAATTTTTTAAATCTTTGTTTTTAAAAAGCCTATAGTGACAGGTGCTTATTCTTTTTAAAAATTTAACCTTGTATTTAATCCAAAGATCTAAAACCTCTTAGAGTAGTGCAGTGTCTTAAATCCTTCATGCACAAAATCTCACTACTACATAAAATTTTTAAAATAGTTTTTGGAACATAACCTTCAAAAGCGTAAGGTATATATAATCTCTTCACTTTAGTAGAGTAAAATATGATTGAATTCAGTTCTTTTGTTTGATACAGTTTTGTTGTTTTGGTACTGCAGATTGATAGTAAGGCTTTTTATATGATAGCCCAGCACTGTACTTCTGTATCACTGCCTCTTGTTTAAATCTTATTTTGAGTGAGAATCTTACTAAGTTATCTTGAGCTTACCTCCCAAGAACCAAAGTTGCAGATGGGTACCACTTGCCCAACTTGCTGATTGTTTTCTGTCAACACAGATTTTAAATATTTGTTAGCTTGTCAGTGTTTATGTTTCAAAGGATAGATAATAAAGCAGATTTAAATAAAGAATGAAAATACATAAAATATTTGGAGACATTAAACAACTGATATTCTACACGTTTTTAAATTGTCTATTGCCACATATTTTAAAAATGTGAACTATCTGCTGTTGTCAGTGTCTGTCAGACACTTCCTACAAGGTACACCCAAACTATGATTTTATTTATCTTGGTAAATAAATCAGTTACTTAAAATAATTACTTAATTACTTTTTTTGAAACTCTAAAACTGCCTCCTAGCAAAGCTAAGAGTATTTTATCCAATTGCTTTTCCACAGACTTTCTGTAAGCAAAAACATGTTTTTGTGTTTTGGAGGAGTGTGTTGCATCTCTGAGCTAGTTATCTTATACCAGGCAATATTTATCTGAACAATTTTTGCAAACATTTCCAGAAATAGTAGGTTGTTCTAAATTTTGCATTGAGTTTAAAATACTTTAAAGGGATAGTTTTGGAAATTTTTATTTAAAATGAAAGGGACTGTTCAAAGTCTTACTGTCTTTTTTAGTTTGCAGGTTAATTATGAGATACAATTTACTGAATTTATGATACCTTTGTATTTTGAAAATGATATCTTAAGAAAATTACTTAGCTTTTTTCCTTGTTTATAAGAATCTTTCTGGAATAGTAGTCATGGATGATGTTGCCTGAATCTAGATAAAGAATCTGCATAGACTCTGTGCTATTTTTGCAACTTACTGTAAACCTGTAATTATTTCAAAATATGTTAAAATAATACAACTGTTAAATTCCCATTTATAGAAGATATGTAAATTCACCACTTGGGGGCAGTCAAAGACTGTTAAAGAAATATGCTAGTGACTTTATGGTTAAAGTATAGTTTAGTATTACCTAGTTTGAAATGTTTTTCATTAATATAAACCTCCCTCTCTTTCCCTTTCTAGGTAACAGGTGTTGTAGGAAGAGCAGAACTTTTGTCATCTATCTTTTTTCTAGCTGCATTTTTGTCCTATACAAAGTCAAAAGGACCAGATAATTCCATAGGTAAATTTCTGACATTGTATTTTTTTCTGTAGCTATATATAAAAAATTGATCAAATAAGTTTCATTCATTTCAAGTGATTCTTACAAAATACTGTGTGCCACATGTAAGGTTTAACTTCATGTAGTTTCATCTGCTGCTATTGAAAGAAAAAAACAAATAAGTGATTTAGCCAAATAGTTATTTTATCTTGGATATTTAATAGGAATAAATTTGGCCCTTTTTGCTGTGCATACAGTAAGGCCCTAAAGCACTTTGAGTGGAAGCGTAACATGAAGATTAAAGCATGGACTTGAGTGTCTGCTTTCACATTCCCGTTCCACCATTTGTGTTTTAGCTCTGTATTCTACCCTTGAGAAATTACTGAACTATCTCTGTGCTTTTGTTTCTTTACCTATAAAATTTGGATAATAAAATCTCTTATCTATGCAGTCCATCATACAGTGTAAGGTAATTCAGTAACTAATACAGACTTGCAAAACGATATCCCCTTGAAGTACTCTACAGTGCAAAGCATGGAGGATAAAGTTAAAATATATTATGGTCTTAAAGACCATCATCAGGTTCACTCCTGACTCTAGCCCGTATTTCCTAGCATTCTTCCTAATTATATTACTGTGTTATTTTTATTCTTCATAATTTTAATGGCATGTTTTTCTTTAAAATTTCTTATTTTAAGTGCTTAGTCTAAGCAATATATGCTGTCATGTTTGCTTTTTTTTTTTTTTTGTGATTGGTGTACCTTTAGGACACTTAGTTACTTTGGCTTGTGGGTTTAAGCCTCATGTATTCAAGTTATCAACCACCATGCCTGATAACAGGAATTTCCTAGACCACTCAATGTTTCTCCTATGATTTTGAAGAAATACCAAGAATTAAAACACATGACAGAGTTCCAGGTTCCCAGGGACCACTGTTGATCAGTGTTGCTTCCATTTCTTAACTTGATAGATAAAATACATAAATCACATCTTAATGACTTGATGTTTTGATACCTGTATATGTTATATAATCAAGTTAAATTTAAAATCTCTTCATTTTTCACTTTGAAGTGAAAATATTCAAAATCCTTTCTTCTAGCTTTTTGACATGTATAATATAAAAAACGTAGTCACCCTACTGTGTAATATAACACATTAGAATTTAACTCTTGTCTAACTGCAGCGTATATTCACTCAAGCTTTGCCCACTGATCGAACGTCTCCCCAGCTTCTAGCAGCTACCATTCTCCTCTCAATTCTTATTACATCAACTTTTTTTTAATATAGCCCACCTATGAGTGAGATCATGCAGCGTTTGTTTTCCTGTGCCTTATCTCCAATTCCATCTATGTTGTCATTCTTTTTATGGTTAAATAGTAGACCATGTATATCACAATTTTCTTTGGTCATTCATCATTGTTAAGGCACTTGGGTTTTTTCCATTTGTTGGCTATTGTAAGTAGTACTGTAGCAAACATGGGCGAGCAGATATCTCTTGGACATGGTGGTTTCATATCCTTTGGGTATATCTGCTAGTGGATTATATGGTAGTTGTATTTTTAATTTTTTGAGGAACCTTCATACTGTTTTCCAGTATAGCTATTCTAATTTACATTCTCATTTTGAGGAACCTTCATACTGTTTTCCAGCATGGCTATTCTAATTTACGTTCTCATCAGAAGTATGCAAAATATCTTTTTATCAACATCCTCAACATCTTTGTTATTTTTGTGTTTATAATAGCAGTTATTCTAACTGAAGTGAGAGTCTCTCATTGTGGTTTTGATATGCATTTATCTTAATTAGTGAAGGTGAGAATTTTGATAATTAATGTATTTTTGATCCATTGTTTAATTTGGTTGTTTGCTCTTTAGTTTTGGGAGTTCCTATATTCAAGTGGTTTATGTATAGATGTATAGTTTGCAAATATATTCTTTTTTCTGTAGGTTTTTCTCTTTGATTCCTTTTCTATACAGAAACTTTTCTTTATTTTTATATAATACTGTTTATGTATACTTTTGTTTCTTGTGCTTTTGGAAAATCCTTGCCCATTTTAGTACCCTCAAGCATTTCCCTTATGCTTTTTGCTGGTTGTGTCATTGTTTTAGATTGTGTATTAATCTTTAATCCATTTTGATTTGAGCTTTGTATTGTATTAAAAAATACCATTTTAGTTTCATTCTTTTGCTTATGGATAACCAATTTTTTGAGTCCCATTTATTGATTTCTATCCATTCTGCAATGTGTTTTCTTGGCTAGCACCTTTGTTGAAATCATTTGGCTACTTGTGGAAGTCAACCTGTTGTTTCCATTTTGTACCATTGGTTTATGTGTCTTTTTATTTCAATATTTTTCTGTTTGGATGACTATTTAATATAGGTTGAAGTCAGGTAATACAATGCCTCTGGCTTTGTTCTAAGAAATCTACTTATCAGTGTTTCTGAAGTATGTACTCTGTGTTTATCTTTGCAGCTCACACTAATCAGCATAGTGGGACATTTCCTTAAAAGAGCACACAGGGATCCTCCCAATAGAGTCAAAAGCTAGAATTGAAGTTAAAATTTTTTCTCACTTTTACATTTTGCTTTATGTGCAACATACACACTTAAGATATCCTCAAGTGGTAAAGAGTTTACTTTTTTAAATACTGTGAAAACCATCTCTCCCTCTCAGTCTTTTTCAAGGGCTGATTTTTGGGGACAGGGCGAACAGATCATGCAAGTTCTCATGTTGTAACCTTAGAGTCCTTAACTTTTTCTGTTTTTAATCTTTGCTTCCTAAAATGGTTCCTAGTTTGTCATAAGTATTCAATGTGAAAATTTATTGAAGAAATGAGCAAGTGAATAAATTTCATTTATTTTCAATTGTAACTGAAAAGGTGCTAGCACCATCTTTAGACCTCTCTGTGATCTTAAACTCTGCTGATACTTTGTTTTACTCTTGAAGCCAGTTTTCATCATGGTATCTGTTACACCTTTTCAGTTGTAATTATTTAATCATTTAAATTCTAGGTTATTCATGTGCCATCCCATTCATGTAAGTATAATGCAATCTCAGAGCCTTTGTTTTTGCTTTGACAGTATTTTAGGTTTCTGCTCAGTATTGCATCAGACATTATCAGTGCCATCACTCATCTTTGCTAGTCCTTTTATTTACCTCCATTCTTTTTCCTCAACACTTCTGTATTGTCAGTGTATCATTTGTCAACTCTCCTCCCATACCCTTGAAATGTAGTGGATACCAGTAACTAACCTAGCAAATGTAGTTGTTCTGGACAAAATCATGTAACTTCTGCCACAGAGGATGTGGCATAAAATCAAAGTGGATATGTTTATGGTAATACCATCACTAACATTTTAAAGAATGAAATGATTGGTTTTAATAAGTCTTTTCCATTATTAGTGCTGTTAATTGGTGAGATGGAGTCAAGTATTATACAAGGTAGCTGATTGCTATCTTTATTCGAGAAGAGGTACATAGCAGTGAAGTTTCGTGAGTTTACCTGTATAAAAACCAGTTGTTCCTCAGTAATATGTGACTAAAAAATCTTATAAACTTTTTTCATATTAAAAAATTTGTATACTGGGGCTGGGGATTTAGCTCAGTGGCATAAGCACCTGCCTTGCAAGCGCATGGTCGTGAGTTTGATCCCCGGTACCGATAAAAAAAAAAAAGTGTGTATACTTACAGTTGTCTTATTATTCAGAGTAATCTTGGGGTTTAATAAAATAATGCATGCTAAATAGTACATGAACTATACATTTGAGGGGTATGGAGGAATAGGCAGTGCTGTAATTCCCTAACCCTGATTTAATCTTACTTTGTGACAGTTGTCTAGCTAAGTTGTTCGAACTGGGCTTGAGTCCACTTTTTCCCACTAATTTTTAGTATGAACATGTACTGGCACTGTTCTGTATCATTTATTTGTCAAGCTTATTTATGCTCCTAGTCTTTTATTTTGTATCTACTAGTCCCACTTTTTCTATGACCTATATATCCTAAAGATCCAGCCTTAGATTCAAACTTTCACGAAGAACTATCTAATGATTTCTTTCCTCTATTGTTTCTTACTCAATTTTACACTGTTGTTCAGTGCTTAATGCAATGTTGTTTTGGTGGTTGTATCCTGATTAGAATATAGGATTTGTTTGTTGGTTTGATTTTATGAAAAGACTGTTATACAGAGAATCCTCAGTAGTTTATACTATAAAATTATTTTTTATAATTTAATTTTTTCTCTCTGTTAAATTACAGTGTGGACTCCAATTGCATTGACAGTGTTTTTAGTGGCTGTTGCAACACTGTGTAAAGAACAAGGCATAACAGTTGTGGGGATTTGTTGTATATATGAAGTATTTATCGCCCAGGGGGTAAGGAAAAAAATAAATGTTCTTGTTACTGTCTTTTGTCCTAGTAAGATTTTATTAGCCTTATTTTCTATAGGTGAATTTGCTTACCAATAATACCAGAATTTGGCAAAAAAAAAAAAAAAAAAAAAAGCATTAACCACTGAAAAGACTTATTTAATATGTTAGAGTGTATTTAGTTTTATATGGATTGCTTTTTAAGTTTTGGTGATGACATTGTCAGGCAATTTGGAAAATTGCATATTAATACTGCTGTAATACAGTTCATTATTAGATAAGATTGTCGAGCTTTTTATTCATTAACAGTTCCACAAACTGTTCTGCATTGATTTTCCAATTATATTGAGTTTGAATCTAGTCTTGCATTTAGATATTACTGCATTGTTGAAAACATTATACTATGATTTGTTATATGTACTTTTTTTTCTTTTTTAGTATACTTTGCCATTATTATGTACTACTGCTGGACAGTTTCTCCGTGGAAAGAGTAGTATTCCATTCTCTCTTCTGCAGACATTAATAAAACTAATTGTCTTGATGTTTAGTACATTATTACTTGTGGTAATTAGAGTCCAGATTATTCAGTCCCAGCTTCCAGTATTTACAAGGTATGAATTCTGCTTCTTTTTTGGTTTTTCCATTTTCTTTTTTACTTTAAGTGATCATGAATATCTCACATGTTCTTTGATTTACAATGAATTTTTCAACCACTTTTTTGAGGTATAATCAAAATGTTTATAAAAACTGTATAATATTTCAAATATACAAACTGTTTAGTTATGCATATATGTGCATCCACAAAACCACCACAATAAAGATAGACCCCCCAGACTGATTAAGTATTAAGGTTAATATTGTCTTCTCTATCCTTAGTGGTCTTTGTCTTGGTCGATCATTGAGAGACAAATACTGAAGTTTTTCTAAAATTGCAGATTGGTCTATTTCACACTTCTGTCAGTTTCTGTTTTCATGTGTTTTTGAAGATCTGTTATTAAGTGCATTAGAGTTGACATATCTTAATGAGTTGATCCCTTTATTATCATTAAATGATCTTTTTACCTATGCATACTATTAATCCTTACTTAGAACTTTATTTAATATGATTACAGATATATTTGATATAAGTATATCTCTTACAAATTATTTTACAAAGTTTTTTGTATGAGACAGTTCTCTTAGAGCAATATGCTAATAAAATTATCACTTCGGCTGTGTTTGAAAATGTCATTTTGAAAATGTTGCATATAAGTGGGTCTTTTTTTTGTTTGGTCAGGTAATCCAAATTTTAAATGGGGTATTTTATCCTTTTATGTGTAACATTAAATAACATTGATGAATATTCTCAGAAGCATCCATGATACTCATGCAATGAATCTTAAGTGATTTTTTTGTTGTGACTTAATTAGAAAGTCATAACTTAAAGCATTGCTGCACAGTCAATATTGTATTTTGTGTGTCTGAATTATTCTGATAATTGGCAGAAAAAGATAACCTTTAAACAGTTCTTCATAAATATCACTTTCAACTAGACATCTCATAAATTTCAGATAGTTTGATTTTTGGCAACATTATAAGGTACTATAAAATTCTTCTTTGGTTTAACAAGACTGTACATACAATATTTATTTTCTGTTACCTTTTTTTTCATCTACATACTCTTTTGTTATAGACTACATTTGCATTTAAAAAGTATTTTCTTTGCTAAACATGGTACCACATACCCGAAATCCTAGAATTTGGGAGACTGAGGCAGGCAGATTGCTGTGAATTCAAATCCAGCCTGGGCTACATGTTTAGTTCAAAGTCGGCCTAAACTACATACTGAGATCCTCATACCAAAAAAAAAAAAAAAAAAAGTTTTCCTTAAATAACTTTACTTTCATTCTTTGTACAGGTTTGATAACCCAGCTGCTGTAAGTCCAACTCCTACAAGGCAGCTAACGTTTAACTACCTCCTTCCTGTGAATGCTTGGCTTCTATTAAATCCTTCAGAGCTCTGCTGTGATTGGACAATGGGAACAATACCACTGATAGAGTCATTTCTAGACATTCGAAATCTTGCCACTTTTGCTTTCTTTTGCTTTCTGGGAGTTTTGGGGATATTCAGTCTCCGATACCCTGGTGACTCTTCCAAGACTGTATTAATGGTAAGAAACTTTTTTAACCTTTCCATCAGGGTTGTTTTCTGTGATTCAGAGACTATTTTGAATTCATTTTACAAGCAAGTCCCTTTCTTTGTTTAGCATCATCCCAATCTATGAATTTATTTTACATTATCCTAAAATTATATATAAGAATATGATTTGAAGGCATAAATTGATGTATACATTCAGTGCCTTATGTTTGTTAGCTTGCTATAACTAAGTTATGCAAACTAAAATACCTTGTTATATTGTATATTTTTTTCTTTCATGAAGAAAACGTCCACTGAAATGTACAGCTGAAAAAATGTACATAGTTTTTAGTTCTCATTAGCAAGATTTTCATTACTTCCTGAGGTAATCTGATTATGTTCAGAAAAGGCTGATGCTTTTTAAAAGTCTTAATGTCCTCATGAATTATTTTTCTTTTTGTTTTTATTTGGCACTTTACAAGAGGTTTTTTTTTTTTTTTTCTTGTGACAACAGAGTAATAACTTGTAATGTTTTCTCCAGCACTTGCTATGTGTCATCAAGCTTATGCTTTGCAAATACATCTTTTTTTGAGAGTCACTAGATTCATTTATTCATTCATGAGAAATATATGATAGTAGCCTACATACTGGGCAGCATTTTTGACACTGAGAATATGATAATAAAAAGAAACACCAGGGCCCATTTCCAGGGAGTTGGAATCATAGAGAAATTTGTAACCAATGCCTGAGATACAAAGAGCATTGAAAGAATACAATATAGAGTTAGGAAAATAGATGATACTTAATTTGAAAATGTTGAGTTTCAGGTTTCCTTGAAACATCCTAGTAGGGATTTTGAATAGCACTTCCTGCCCAATTCAAGAGTGATTCCTAAGCTGCACATAAAAATTTTATTCATTATCATAAAGGTATTAATTGAAATCAGAATGTAAATAACAATGGCATATGGAGAAGTTATAAAAGCAACATTTCTCAAACAATGTATTGTCATTTCTTTGAAAAATGGTTGCTACCTAATACTGTTCTAATTATATGGAACAAAAGTTAATCATACATATTATGGATGCATTAGAGCACTTAATCTTAATTTGCCCCTCAGAAATATTTAAGGTTGTTGAATAGAGTGAAAAAGAAGCCTACAACTTTGTCCTAAAAAAAGTTTCCCATATTTAGAGTTTGAAAAGAGAAAAATAAACTTAAATAACAGACATTATTAAATAAACAAAAAAGTAAGAAAATGTTTTAGTAAATACAGAGTAACTAACATTAATAGATACTTTTAAGTGAAAAATAAAATTTTTGAAGTGCTATCTATTTGATTTGGCCTCTTATAATCTATCAGTTACTTAAATGTCAAAAGCCGTTGATTGGTTGATTATGAGAAGCATTTTTAGTTGAGTATTTAGTTGCTTTTTGAGTAAATGATTCACTAATCAATTGGATTGCAAACACATTGAGTTAAAATATTGATTGAGTTTAAGACTACTTGTTATCATATAAAAGTCTTTATGATTTTGGGAACTTGTTTGATACCTGAGGGACATGAGTGGGGAATTTAAAGAAGAAGGGTGTTAAGGATAGAGAGCCAAGAGAATGTTTAAATGTAGGTAGAAAGAATAAAGTTAATTAGAAAGTGGTTGAAGACATGCGAGAAGGGTTAACTGCTATTTAGGTTTGTGAGAAGCAGGGGCATATTGTGCACAGGTTTGACCTCACATAGGAGGGAACTCCTACGTAAAAGGAAAAGAGCAAAGACCACAAATGTGAATGTTGGTAGGTTTAGTAGTAAGGAATTGAAGACATTCTTATTTGATAGCTTCATCTGTCTCTTAGGTAATATGATCACCTCCTAAAATGAAATAGGTCAGAAGTGTAAGAGCAGTCAAGATTGAAAACTACCGAAAGGGGTAGAACTAGACCTATCAGAAAACTAGGTATCTTGAGCAGTCTTAAGGGTTGATTACTTTTTCTTTTCAATATCTTTTTTCTCTTATGTAAAAAAAAAAGTTTTTGGTTAGTTTCTGAGAATATTTATCTATCATAGCTTTGGGACTTTGTAACAGTGCATTGCTGCTCAGATACATTCAGACAAATAGAAAAATAGTAGAATACAACCAAAGCTAAAGGAAAGGGTAAAAAAGGGGAGGAAGGACAGTTGAATTTAGGCAAATTAAAATAATTATGTGTATAGTGTATATTTTTAAAAAAAGGACAATAATGCCAGAGACAGGAACATTAAGGATGATTCTTCTTTAAGAGCATCACTTTTTTTTTTTTGGTGTTGGAGACTGGATTCAAGTTCACACTGAGCTATATCTCCACTCCTTTTTATTTTTTATTTGGAAACAGGTCTTGCTGAATTGCCCAGGCAAAACTTGAACTTGCAGTCTGTTATCTCAGCCTCCCAGACTTCTGGGATTACAGAGAAAAACCACAGTGCCTGGCTTAAAACATGCTGGGTTTTTTATTTTTTAATTTAATAGTGATGTAGTCTGAGGATCTCCAAAAAGGATAAGTAATTTACAGGCATATACTTGTTACCATCTTCTGATATTCCTGTTATGCATTTATTAAGTAAGATCTTAGATACATCACAACAGCATAAGTAATTATTAAACTCTATTTTATTTATATCCTCAAGATGTGTAGTTTGTAACCTAGGAAATAGGTGCATCTCATTCTCACCTATGTTGTAGATGACTTTTTCTTAAACCTGGATGATACTGCATTGTGCATATATGCCCTACTTTATCTGCTCATCCTTTCATGAGCGCTTAAGGCTGATTCCCTTTCTTGGCGATTGTGAATGATGCTACAATAAGCATGGGTTACAGATATCTCTTTAACACTTGGTTTTGTTTCCATTGGCTGTCTACCAAAGTGGGATTGCTGCATCATGTAATAGTTCTATTGTTACTCTTTTCCTCAGTGGTTACACTAAGTTGCATTTCTACCACCAGTGGGTAGGGTTTTCCTTTCTCCATATATTTGTAACACTTCTTTTGTCTTGATCATGACCATTCTAATTTTAGTGAGGTGAGATATCATTGGGCTTTTAATTTGTATTTCTCTGATAGTGATTTTGAGCATTTTTTCATATATCTTTTAGCCATTTGTATGTCTTCAGAGCAGTGTTTATTCAGATCTTTTGTCCATATTTTAATTATTTTTTATTGTTGAGTATACCATTTCAGTCACATATCAATTTTTTTCTTTTTATTTATCTGGAGAGAATTATTATTCAGTTTTTTAAAGATATAATTATTTACCGTCAGTAATTTTTATATTTTACTACAAAGATATACATTCCTCACAGAAAAGCAGTGAAAGATAACTAATTAAGCTTTTTAGAGTGAAGATGTTATGAAAGGTTCAGATTTTAAGAAATTATTCCAAAACATATAAAACAGTCTGGTTTTCAAACAAGTCCACAGATACCCTTCAATTTTAAGTTGTAGATGTCCATCACATCTTGCTTTCACAAATCGTATTTTTTTACCCATGCCTAAGTTGCCTCCTTTATGTTTACATTAGTATTTTTCATAGTTTTTAAAATGCATTTGTCCAAATGCATTTATCCAACTTGAATGGTGAAATCTTGGCTTTGAGTGTTGAGAATCTGTACATTTTTTAATTTAATGGCTATCTTTTTCTTTCTAGGCACTTTGTTTAATAGCATTACCATTTATTCCTGCTTCGAACCTGTTTTTTCCTGTTGGATTTGTTGTTGCTGAGAGAGTACTGTATGTTCCGAGCATGGGATTCTGTATTTTGGTAGCCCATGGATGGCAGAAAATTTCAAAGAAAAGGTGAATCAAAATGTTAGTTTATTTAATTCTTACTGAATGTACAATTGTGGTACACAGAAGTTATTTCAGTCTGTATTTAAATTTTGTCATACTTTAATACCTTTTGTTTTTTTTATCTTGCTAGTCTCATTTATCTATAATTCAAATTAAGCAAGCACCATAGAACCTACACATTCTGTGTTTTCCCCCACTTATGTAACTTTATTTTACAGCCTCAGGCAGAACAAACTTTGAGTCAGACCCAAATGAAAATAAGGATATTCTTGACCATTTCCCCATTCATGTGCAGTGAACTAAGATATATTCATCTACTTAAGTGAGTCATACCGCCTTCTTGATATAAGTAACATGCATCTACTAAGCAATTTATAATTTCTTGCTGTCTTTATTATTATCTTGATATCAATATTTTTAACAGTTAAAAAACAAGAAATGTCATTTTAATACAGTCACATTTATACATATACCATGTTTCTAAAATTGTCAAATCAAACCAATTGTTAATGGTTAAGTAATGGTAATACAGTAATATGAAATTAGTTTTGCAGTTTGAAAAAAAATGGCCACTGTTCTCACATTCTCATTTTCCCGTCACCTTTCAATCCACAGGTTTCTCGTATCACTTTGCTAGCAAATTGTCTGGTAATACCTTTATCCAGTGGACACTTGTTGTTGTTGTTGTTGTTATCATTTCTCTTATTTCTATAAGTTGTCTCCTGCGTCTGTTCATTTGTCTTCAGATTCTTCTTGGTATGCTTTATCTTTGAATGTTTCTGTTTTTCTGTTTTATTGACAGTCACTTTTGTCATATTTGTGTGCTTCATAGGTAATCATATCTAATTTTTACTACTGTCTGTACAAGTCTTCTCTCTTAGTTTCTACCCATATATCCAGCTATAATCATTACCAATTTGTGCGTGCCTATGTGCCAAGTATCATACTCTTAAGATTTATTTTTTCATTTAATCTTGACACTCCTCAACTGTTTTACAAATATCACAATTGAAGCTTGTATAGGCAACTTGAATTACACAAGATCACCAACCAATAAACAGGAGAGATCCTTGGATCAAGTTTATACCTTAGTACTTCCTGTTACTATTTTTATTTGTGATCATACTCCCCTATTTTGGTTAAGTGGATCAATTAACATGTAAAAACATTAAACCATGTTATAGAATCAACACAAATTCAGACAGTAATGCTAGATGATACCATAAAGATTATTGAAATCATCTTTTAAAAATGAGAAATTGAGTCTAATAATTAGTCTAAAAGTTGTATGAGTAATTTGTATCTATTTTGCAATTAATTTTTCTATACTTTCAATAGACAATTCATATTTTAAACTACAATATTTATTAAGCGTGTTGTGGTCAGTGATGTAATTCATAAGCAAAAACCTTTAAATATAGCCAAAGATAAGCTGTATAAACACAAATAGTAATATCAAAGTTGCAAGTAAGGATGTAAATGACTAAATATAAAAATTCATAATCTGATATGATCATAAACTGATCTTAACCAATTTTTGTCATTTAATCTAAACAAAACTTTTGTAATAGAGGCAAATAATAGAATATACAATCAGATCTTTGTATCCAGGAGTTCTATATTTGCAGATTCAATTAAATATGTATCAAATAGATTTTTTCTAAAAATTGCATCTGTGTTGAACATGTACAGACTTTTTTACCATTATTTCTAAACAGCATAGTGTAACAACTATGTACATAACATTTACATTATTTCAGGTATTAAAGTAATCTGGACATGCTTTTAATTAGATAGGACATATGGGTTGTTACAGTGCCCATTCATATAAGGGACTTGACCATCCTTAGAGTTTGAAATCCTGTAGTGGGAGACTGCAAACAACCCCCCACAGATAGCAAGCCATGACTGTGTAATGTAATTGAAGACTGAATGAGACAGTCATGTTCATAATATTTAACTTCATTGGTGCTGGTTCCCTCTAAAGTTGGGTGATCATTAGAACGAATAGAATAAATACAAACATGATATAGGAATCATCTCCATATTTCTTATCTTCTAATGAGTAAAATACTTTTGGTAATACAGACATTTTCTTTTTGGTCTCTTAAACAGTGTATTTAAAAAGCTATCCTGGGCCTGCCTCTCAATGGTGATACTTACTCATGCCTTAAAAACACTTCACAGAAACTGGGATTGGGAATCTGAGTATACATTATTTATGTCAGCCTTGAAGGTAAGATATTCTTCAGAACGACAAAAATGTATGTCGTCAGTGATTTTTTTGTAGCCATTCCTAAGATGTTTTTAATTCATTTGTTAAATTGCTAATATGGAGTATGTTACCAAACAGTTCATGAAAATAATTTATTTTCTATGTAATATGTGCCATAACCACGTTATCTGAATAATGTTTAACTGTGCGTGCATCCTAAGCATACTGAATAATTCCCTGAGTTAATGTTAAATGTTTACATGATAAAATATTTAAGTAAAATACTATATATGATTAGTTTTTAGGATGAACATTTTTAAGATTTTAATATATGAAATAAGGATAAGTATTATATTGAAAGGCACCTAAAAGTAATTAGTGACCTTTCATAATAGTACATAAAATAATGATTCTTAATGGTTTAATAATTCAGTGTGTCTTGGTTACTGTACTTGTCTCTCATTGCTGGGACAAACACCCAACACCCTAAATGAAGAAAGTAAAGATTTATTTAACTCACTGTTTGTATAGGGTTTGTATAGGGTCCAGTTCATAATCAAGACAGGGTGGCTCCAAGGCAGGGTGGCATGAGACTGACCAACACTTCAAGGCAGCAGCCAGAGCAAAAAGAGGAAAACAAATTTCTTCTCCTCCCTTATATGGTACATAGCCCTCCACCCCTTTTAGGGCTATGCCCTCTGCATAGGATGAGCAGTGTTTACAAAGTAAACACCCTGGCTCCCTGCTGAGTTTCCAGCTTAAATTTGTAAACTTCTCTGGTTGACACAAGGTATCAACCATAACACACTGAAATAAAATACACAACAAAAAATGGTTTTGAAAGGTACATGTGAGCAGCAACCAATGGTTGTGATGCTATGGTAGATCAGAACTGGTAGACCAGAATGATGCAGTATTTCTGTAGAAGGAGCAGTTTGTACTTCTAGATATCAGTGGAGCCTCATAATTTTTAGGAATTTTGATTTTTCTGGCAAGAATGGCACTGAGGTTTTGCTTGTCTGCAGAGCTGAGGGACAAAATGGAGCTGCTGGGTGGTAGAGGAGTGGAGTTACCTGACCTTAAGTAGATGTCTAATCAAGAAGTAACATGGATTACTGAAATGTCATACCAATTCAGTAAGATAGGCAATGGAAAAACAGCTGACCAAAAAACCCAAAAAGATAAAAGAAAAGTAAGAATTTAGAGACCTGAAGAAGGGCAGTGTTACAGAAAGACTAAGAAGAAAAAAAACTTTGCTGATAACCATTATAGAAAATAAATGTGTGCTTCTTAAAGAGATTTTCTTCAGACCATGTTGTTCATTCTATAGAATGGTTAAAATCTACAGCCCCAGCTAGCTTTTTGTCTGGGTATCCTATATCTGCAAAAATACCATGCCTGTAAGTGAACTCTGAAAATTACACATTGACTCAGAATTTTAAACCAAGTTTCCCATAATCACAGTAGACTACTTGAATATCTTTAAACATATATGTCAAGCCTAAAATGTTGTCATTGCAGTATTGAAATTAATCTCATATTCTAATACTTTCCCCATTAAAAAAATACAAATACTAGAGCACTATGCTTTGATGAAATAAAATTTTAGTGCAGTTTAATAAGTAAAATGAATGAAATCACACCGCTGCTTTAATATATTAGCAAGTTAGAGGAAGAATAAGCTTGAAGCAGTCTTCATTTGGAATCTTCCTCATATCCAGAATGTGTTCCTGAAATACTCCATTCTTAATAGTGTATTAAAACAAATATTTGTGTAAAGCAGTGTTCTTTTTAAATTGTAACTGATCTTTATTTTCACTTGTGTTTAAGGTAAATAAAAATAATGCCAAATTATGGAACAATGTTGGTCATGCTTTGGAAAATGAAAAGAACTTTGAGAGAGCTTTGAAATACTTCTTAAAGGCTACCCACGTTCAACCAGGTAAGTGTTCCTAGTAATTTGATAAATAGTGTTTTTTTTAAAAACTAGATTTTATTTCAAGAAACTGCTTATATCAGGCATTTAAGAAGTGTTTTGAAGACATAGTTGTTGGATGGCAGTCATGTGCTTTTGCAAATGGTACATAAGAGTATAGGGAAGGAATAATTAGAAACTATTAGTAAAGATAATTGTTAAAGTGCATCTGTAAGGCAATGGAATGGTTCATTATGTGATCAAGAGAAGATGATGGTATGGTAATAGGGCTTTTACTGTTGCTTTCTGTTTTCAGGTGGGAGACAAAGCATATTTGGGGCTAATCCAGTGAATTTGGAAAAAGTAATGCACGCTGGGTGAACTAGTAACTAGATCAGTGTCCTTGAACAGATGAGGGATATAGAAGATGGTACACAGGGTGAGAGGATTTCACTCAAATCTGGATGATGGTTAAACTGGGGTAACAGGGAAGGCACAGGGTGTGGACATGGATAGAGGCAGATAAGTAGATGCATGAAGGAAGCTTAAGAAGTTGTATTTTTGCTTCTGTTTTCTAAGTGAATAGCTAAATTGTTGGAGACGATAAAGAGAAGAGTACTTGAGAAGATTGAAACAGTCTCCTAAGACAGTGTGTCACCAACTTTAATGTGCACATAAATCATCTAGAGAACTTGTTTCAATGCATATTCTGGCATAGGTTTATACCAAGCCTGAGTTTCTGCATTTTTACCAAACTCCTGGATGAAAGTTATCTGCATATCACACTTGGAAAAGTAAAGATCTAGGAAAGTGTATCAACTAGGATAATACCATATAATTACCAGACAGCTATACTAATCTACTTGAGATTAGTAAACTTTAAAATTAAATCAGTTGATATGGTTATGTTTTTGTTTTGCTGTTGTGTCATGGTCTTAATGTAGACATATAACACAGAGCGAATTGTAAGACGTGTTTTACTAAGCAAGAAAGGACCAAGGGTGTGACTATGAGGATGAGACACACATTCTAAATTGGTTCAGAATGGATGTACAAGATGATTAGTTGATTAAGAGAGATAGTGACAAGATCAATGAATTATGTATGTGAAGAATCTTGGTGTCTGAGTAGGGTGTAGATAAAGCAGCAGTATTTTTCAGTGAGAAGTGCTATTGGTGTTTCAGGTGTGCAGGATAAGAAAAAGAATAGTCACCAGTGTACAGAGTACAGTTTAACATGTCTCAAAACAAGAAAAGTAGACAGGAGATGATAGCAGTTTAACCATTAGTCTGTCTTCCCAGGTGTATTTTCCATAAACTTCGTGTAGGTTAATTTTTTCTAATATGGGGTAAAGTGCTGTCCCTTTCTTCTCTTTGTTACATTCCATCCTATGGTATTTATAATTTTCTATTCAGTATTATATCTATTTAAACATTAATTTATTTAAAATGTTTAATTATTTGAGCTGGAGGTTGCTGTAAATAACATAAAACATCTGACTCATTTTTTATGCCTGCATCATGTTGTAAGAAACTATGCACAGTCACTAAATCTAGTGGTTTTGAGTTACTAGTTTTTAAAGTCTTTTAGGTTCGTTTTAGGGTTTTTAGAGAAGGTCTCATGTTTAATGTTAGACAAAGATTATAAAATGTTATGTAGTCCTTTACCCATGTCTTTGTCATTTGTGAATTGAAATAGTAATTTCTATCTCACTGAATTTTTGTAAAGACTGAATTGAATGTATATGGATGATGAATGTGATCATTTGTATGGCAAACATATAGTAGTAAGAGACTTAAAAATTTTTAAATGTATAAATGGGTGTACATATGCATATTTTATCTAGACAGTATGTGTCATTAATGTTATAGATGGGAGGGACACTCAGTCTTAAGAATTTTCCTGTCTTTGTCAATTGTCATTCAGTACTCTTTGAGACACTTGCTGAAATTGTTTCCTAAGTATGACTTATCTATCACACATTCAAAGTTAACTGCTCCTAGTAAACCAAAATAGGAAGTTATGAAGTTTATTAAAATTAATGATGAATAAATCAAATAAATTCGGAAACATTAAATATAACATTAAGAAGCTTCTAGACTTGTTCCTTGAGAGGGGATGCTATGTTTGTAGGTAAATTTGGCAAATGAAATGTCATATCATTTTACTATATTATCACCAAGAAGGGAGAAAGTGACCAGGGTGGTATTAAAAAGTGACAGGTGATATTATGGATAGTTAAAAGTTTGGCCTGAATTTTATGCAGTTCAGTCATACTGTTTGCTATATATAAATTATCAAAAACAACAATTTTTGTTCTTCCATACAGATCAAATTAAATACTGCTTATAAAAGACATAAGCCAATTTCTTGCTTATAATATATACTCGATAAATATGTTAAGCTGTTAAATACTAATGCCATTATTTTCAGTGAAACTAGGGAAAGAGGAAGCAAGTAAAAATATAAGATGGAGGGAATGTTAATCAGTTTTTAATAACTATAACAAATACTTGAGATAATCGATCTAAAAAGGAAATAGGTTTATTTTGGCTCACTGTTTTTAAAATTTCAGTCCATAGTTAGTTGTCTTGCTGCTTTTGGGCCTGGCATTAATCATGATGGGAGTGCATGGCAGAGGAAGCTGCTTATTTCATGACCAACCAGGAGTCAAAAAGAGGGACAGGCAGGGCCAGGGTCTCAGTCCCCTGAGAGGCGCACTGTCATGACCCAACTTACTTCCGCCCAGCCTCCCTCCTCCGCCTTCCAATGGGGCGTAAAGTGGCAGCCAAATGTTTAACCAGATCAGGCCTTTGGGCCAGATCTTAGCTGTAGCCAAGAAGTATGAAAAGACAGTGAACAACGAAGGGCCCCAAAAGTATATTCGTTGAGCATGAATCTGAGGATTTATCAGGTGTCAGGCACGATTTTACCTGCTGGGGACCCAGTGGCAAATAACACACATTTTTTTTCTCTTAGTGGAGCTCCTGTACTGCATACTGGTATGGTAGAAACATTTAAAATTTACTCTTTTCTCTGAAGTTTTGATAATTTTAATCTATTAAGTAATCTGGCAGTATATAACAAGAAAATACACAGATTTTGTTGCGTGCCCTAAGTATGAGAGTCATGCGCACTGTGGGAGACTTAGAGAGGGGCAAAATGGCTGACTAATTACAGAATTAGCAAAGGAAGGAGGGATATGTGCTTTACAAAGGTGCTGGCCTCAGGTGAGGAGGTGCACGATGAGCTAGGGGCTGTCTTTTTATGCGAACGTTTCCCAGGTAACAACTTGTTGAGATTTTCTCTGCCAGGTATCAGACCCCTGTCTTTCTTTCTGTGAAAGGATCGTTCCTAGGCAAAACGGGGCGATCAGATTGAAAAACCTCTGTCTAATCTGTTATCTTGTGTTTACTAACCCAGATGATTATAAATGTATTTTTATGAAAGGACAGAGTTAGCCTTATGCCTGTGGAAGTCTTCAGTTTCTTTGAATAATCAATTATAGTGACTAAAAAATGCCAAAGAAATATATTTGGGGTTGGATATTTAGTCTTCCATAGTATAGACAGGTGACTCAGAAGGAAAGACAAACACATAAATAGACATATACACCTAATTTGCACACACAGTGTATGCATTTTACCAGTTTTAGGAAAAAAGCCCTGTCTCTACGGGGTTTCCAACAGACCAGGACTAGCCACTTAAGCTTTGGTGAAGGACATGAGAAGAGCTTTAGTTAATCATAGTTAGATAGCAAAGAACAGATAATAAAGATACTCAAGATCTGTCTTTGAAGTGCTGACAGAACCTTTGGGGTTTTATATAATCAAAGGCGAGAGGTAGGGGTTTGTGTAGGTGTGCAGTTTGCGTGGCTGGCAACCCCCGGTCGTCCTGGTCCAGTCATGGTCTTGTGCATCTGTGTCAGGCCTGGGTCTTCAGGTTTCGGGAGAGGCATTGTCTCTTGCGGGGTCAGTTCTGTTCCCATCACAAGATGACAGCCCTTGCTTGCTCTAGAGGTGAGAGAGCCTCAGTTTCATCATGGAATAAGTGCTCCTGATCTTGTTTCGTGGCAAAAATAAAAAGAAACTTTAGGAGAGGGAAGGAATAGAATACTCTACTAGGGTTCTAGAAAAGTGAGTTTATTAAAGAAATAAACTACCCTACTGACAGAGGGTACATCTGACATTTCAGATTCTCATTTACATTGAATTAAAGGCAGACAGCTCAAATCCTGCTGCAGCTTTAGTATACTCATAATAATAAACTTATTTGAAATTCTCTTCACCTCTTTAGTTACAAATGTTAATTTTTTCATCTTGTTACCTTTGCTTGCCTTTTTTAAAATTCAAGTGGACCTTAAAAGTAATAACTGTATTGTTTTCCCCTTGAAAATCATCTTTGTAACTTATAAAAAATTGCTTCGTAACTTAAACACTTTTATTATGTATTTTGAGTAGTCCAAATGACACTGAAGGATGTCTGATTGCTATCTTTTTTTTTTGACCCAGTGATCGAACTTAGGACCTTGCACTTGCCAGGCAAGCGCTTATGCCACTGAGCTGTATCCCTGGCGCAAGGTGTCTGAATTTTTAAAGCTACACAAGTATTCTGGTTTGCGGCCAGCCTAAGCTCTTTTTTTGTTTTATTTTGTTTTGTTTTTTGCTTGATACCTTCCTAACTCTATAAAATTTAGCCTTATATCTAAAATTTTTTTTTTAAAAATCCCTAACCTGTCTCCCAATTCTCTAACCAAAATTACACTACATCTGCTAGTTTTTATGTGGTGTACACAGTTGGTAGCCTGAAACAAAAACATAATGTAGCAAGATCTTAGGACTGTTGCTCTCCTCCTAGGGGAATGCCCAAGATACATATGCTTGGCCCCTGTGTGTCCTGAGAATTGCAGTCAGAGAGGTTACTATCCCATAATTACAAAATCATGGGTGTTACAGGCAAGTAGCAGTCATAATTTGAAACCTTCTCATGTTTGTTAGATATTTATGTTGAATAGAAGCTAGGATCTCTTTTATCATTACCTCAACCTTTGAAATACTTATTGGGGAGTATATCTGTCTTGATTACAAAATGCCCAGCACCCAAAATTAAGGAAGAAAAGGTTTATTAAGCTCACATTTTTTGGAGGTTTCAGTCCATAATGAGCTGACTCCAAGGTAGGTGACAAAGGCAACCATTCATGGCAGTGAAGGTACCAAAGGTGCCGAGAGTGGAAAAAGGAAGAGCAAACCTCCTTCCTCCCTTGCACTGCCTCCCTCACTCCCGCACTCCCTCACACTGCCAGATGAGGAACCAATCACAAACACTAGACTCTGCCACCTTCACAAGACCCATGACCACATGAGGCTTTGGGGGAACATCTGAATACAAAGCATAACAACATCTTTTTTAAAACTAGTGTCTGTTGACTCCCCATATCTTTATTTGTATTTTTATTTGTGTATCTTTTATTTGTACTGTTTTTTTTTTCCTTTTGCTTTAACAATTCATCGGAGATTTTATTTTTCACATTAGAAAGTGAGATAAAGTTCCTGACATTCTATCTGATATTAACAATACTTTTTTTTAAGTTTTAGATAAATTATGTTAGGAATATATATATCATCATTAAGAAAAATACCACTACACCTTACATAATATTATCCTGATGCTTCATTTAATCTCATTCCAATCACATTCATAAAAATTTTTAGAAAATAAATCACAAAAGGTTTTCACTGTCTTTGGTCTTATCCTTTCCTGGTACATACTTGTTAGTTGTAACACTACTTTTAGGAATAATGGTAATTCTTTTTTCTTGTAAATATGATCTACATTATTTAATTGAATTCCAAAGGTATGAGATTAAGGAAATGGAAGTAAGCCATAGAATAGTACAGTAAAATATAGTGAACAGAAATGATGTAAATGAGATTACCTCTGCCTTGTCTTATGATTTAACCCCTTCAAAGGTCCAGTCAGGTAGCTTCTTATGACATGTGTGTGTTCTATCTTTAAGGCACTATAAGTAATTTTGTAGTCTGTCATCCATTATGACAAGTTATGTAAGAACAACCTCAAAAAGAATGCAAGACTTTTTTGCTTTTGTGTTTTTGCCTCACGTATTTGTTTCTAGAAGCACATCTTCTCAACATTTTATGTGAAATACTGTTTAGTATAATTGCCAATAAATGTTTTCTTTTCTAATGTTAGATGATATTGGTGCCCACATGAATGTAGGAAGAACTTACAAAAATTTAAATAGAACTAGAGAAGCTGAAGAATCTTACATGATGGCTAAGTCCCTGATGCCTCAAGTAAGTTGTCAGAATGTATCTCTCATATCATATCTACAGAAGAAGATTGAAGGAGATCCTTTCCTTCAGCTTTTTAATGTAAAAAGAGATGTCTAATGAGTGTTGTATTTCTATATTCTCCATAAATATACATTTACATTTTTAGCTCATTTAATTTTTTTAAAAATTATTTTTGTATGCAGTCTGTTTGTAGATAATTATAGAATATGAACACTATTTTTGATTGTCATGAATTAAGTAACTTTAAATGAAGTAAATTTTGTTTACTATAGGCACTAAATTCAACATTATTGCTCTCTGAAACAATGAATATAAGTGATAAAATAGTGGATGTATCTCTGTTGCTGTATTGCATTCACTAGTTGTAATGGCACAAGTATGAGATGCATCAGATGTGGTATTGTCATATCAAAAATGAAAGATCAGTGCCTGTCCCTTATCATCGACGTGTCACCAGAAAAGATAATTTAATCTGGTCTACAAATTTCTCGATTGTAATAATATTTACAATAACAATAATACTATTATATGGGTAACTTAGTACCATTTTTAGAATCCAAACTGCACCATATAATTTAAGAATTATTTCCTTACTAATATAAAACAGTTAAATTATTACAGGTTTTTATCACAGTTTGTTACATTCTTTAAAAATACAGTTCTCTGTATTTTATCACCTTTATTCACCTGTATATATCTGTGTATATAATGACCTTTATTGAACTTGAAAATTAATTACAGCATTTTATTTCCTAACTTTACCAAACAAGTGAATTCTTAATATAACTGAAATAAAATTAAGTCCCCTGCTGTTGATAAGGAAATACTTTGCATACAGTGTGAAATATTCTGATGGAGACTTAACAGACTTTGATCTCTAAAGGTCCTGATTTACAAGGTCCTGACTTGTTAAAAAAAAAAAAAATAGGTATAAGTAAACTAATAATAGTTCTTTGAGCTGACATGAATGTAGAGCCACAAAATATACCGACATTTTATGAATATTATACATTTTCTTTCACACTGTATGGTCTTTTTTTACATTAGTAGAACTAGCACTATGATTTTTGTGTTCTGTGTTATTTTAAATAAGCTACTTGCTAACTTTTTGTTTTTATGTAGCTTTATAGTACCTAATTATAACAAATACACTATTTCTTCTAAACAGATTATTCCTGGCAAAAAATATGCAGCCAGAATTGCTCCTAACCATCTAAATGTTTATATCAATCTGGCCAACCTGATCCGCGCAAATGAGTCCCGACTAGAAGAAGCAGATCAGCTGTACCGACAAGCAATAAGCATGAGGCCTGACTTCAAGCAGGCTTATATTAGCAGGTATCATAGTTTATGTTAGTGCTATCATTGTAGAAGATTGCAGCTGTAGCTGCACATACATTTTGACTAAATGTTCACGTTTTTCTTGTTTAATCTTACTTGGCAGCCAAGTACATACAAGATTATAGCTTGTTTTAGACTCACAAACTTAATTCAATTGAAATTGATAATGGAATCCTTGATTTGCCATAACAACTCGGATTTTATATAAAAGAAAGGGTCGAAGCAGCTCACTCTTCTGTTTTCTTCTCATCAAAATCATTTTCTTTTTTTCTATATAAAAGATTTGGAACTTACTCTATATAATAGTTCTATTACCCAGTTCTCAGGAACATTCTTAAATAAATTTTAAGTTGACTGGTTATAGATGTCTTCGCCATAAAGAAAACTTCTTAGTCATCAGTAAAGTTTTCTCACATTACATATTAAAACTTGGTGTATTTTCTTGTGTAAATATTAATTTATAAAAGGTAAAACGGTTCTTAAATTGGTTGTATTTTTTTAAGCTTTACCCAGAACTGTGTCGTGTGCTAATCCAAAAAGTCTTATTGTACAATCTCTGTATTAAAGGAAAATCTTGAATTCACTCTTACGAATTGCTTAAATGAGAATATTAGTAAAAATATTCTTTAAGCAAAGTAACTTTAGATTTCTCTAACAGAAAATGTGACCATATTGGAAAGATAAGTGGTTTTCAAACTAATCCCCAGTTCAAAATGTATTCCTCAAAACTATCTGCAGATGGCACTATTGCCCTCCTGCTCGACTAGATCTATTTTTTGAAACTACTTTTTTCAAAAATGTTCATATATCAAATGATCAGTGATTTGTCTAGTTTAACACAAATTTAAACCACTCTATATTTTTTCTTCTTCTAGTGCTGTAACTAGCACCTGACAAATTCATTGGTCTTTCATTCTGATTATTTGCTATTTTTCTGATGCAGTTTAGTCTGTATCCTTTTAAGATATGTTCAAAGACTAGATTTTTTTTCTGTCACCCTTTCTTGAATATCTCCCCACATCCTACTTAAAGTGTGTTTTTTCTGCCTTTAGGAATATTTGCAGCTATATCAAATCAAATTTGCTAGCTTGAGAGCAATTACAGTTTTTTGATAACGTCTGAGAGTCAAATTTAAAAAGAAAAGAAAGTTACATGTTGAAAGTCTTAAAACTTAAAGATAGTCTACAGACTAACATATTAATGTATGTTTGATTTTTTTTTTTTCCTCCACAGGGGAGAATTGCTCTTAAAAATGAATAAACCTCTCAAAGCAAAGGAAGCATATCTTAAAGCACTAGAACTGGACAGAAATAATGCAGATCTTTGGTACAATTTGGCAATTGTGTATATTGAACTTAAAGAACCAAATGAAGCCCTAAAAAATTTTAATCATGCTTTAGAATTAAATCCAAAGCATAAGCTAGCGTTATTCAATTCAGCTATATTAATGCAGGAATCAGGTATGTTTTCATGGACTATTTCTGTTTAATCAAATGTAGCTTGGTAAATAGTAAAACCTTATCTTCAGCTTTGTTTTCCATATGAACATTTTATGAATGACTACTTTATAAATACATAAATAGCTAATAAATAACTTACAGTAGGAATATTTTAAATATTTGAAGTAAACATTTCAAATAACGTACTAAAATCTGAGAATGCTAATCATTCTGGTATGTGCTAATACTAAATTTTTAGGCAGTTTGTTAAGCGATACCTATTTTGTCATATTATACATGTAAGTGTAACCTTTCATACTAACAAATAATATGAATTTGTGAAATAGCTCTAAAGAATCAAGAGAATGATATGTTTACAAAAAACAAGTATTACAGTTTCCTTTGATTTATGAGGGAAAATACTTTGGGGAAATATTTTTATATAGAGTTTTCTGAAATATTGTAATTTTCTGTAATTTACCAAAACTAAATCATTAATCTTAGTAAATCTGTATCTTTGATATGTACGAATTTTTTTTATCTTTCACAAAGCAATGTGTGATTATAGTTTGTAATTTTTATGATAGAAAATCTGTATTTGGAACTTACAGTTATTTCCTGGATACTTTTTAAGAATATTTGCAAAACTGAGCAAACTATAAAAACTATAGTATTTTAGACCTAAAGAGGACCTTTGCATTTACTTTACCAGTTTGCCATTTAGTAGATCAGAAGGAGGTCCAAGTAGATTTAATGACTATCCTAACTTCATATGACTATATTAGTACCAAATATAAAAGAAAAGCTGAAGGTAATGTATTATTAAATTTTCCTTACTCATCGTGTCAATTAAAAGAATACTGAGGTGTCAGTATACTTTATTTTCAAAAAACATGCTTATAGAAAAACTTAATATATTGTAAGGTTATCTAACTTTAATAATCATGAAAACCACTGTTTTCCAATACAAATTGTACCCTAAAGCATGCAACTTGTAAAACTTTTAAAAAAAATTGTTTATTTGCAGTAGAAATTAATTCAGTATTTCTCAAATCCTAATTTTAAAGTTTTGAAGTTAGTTACACATTTTGCCTTTGAAATTCCTAAAAAGTTTGAGATTACCAAAAAAATCTAATTTAGTAATTTTGAAAGTTTGTTTTCCAATCATAATTACAACTTGCTATATAATGTAGATAGATGTATCATGTAATTCTTTAAAAATTGAGTAAGTTAACCCAAAGAAGTTAAGTAACTTGTTGAGTATATAAAATCATACCAAAAATCAAGATTGTATAGTGCTTTTCAGAAGATCTAATTCTGTGTTCTTCCCCTATTAGTACCTAGATAGATTATAAACTATAAGATTTTTCCCCTTTTCGTTTCAGAAGCACTATTAACATTTCAAGGAAATAAAATGACCTATCAGTTCTGTGTCTCAAAGACACTGTCTTTCCAGTAAAGATAGAGTTTTGTTTTCTGCTTAATTAGATGCAGAAATTAATTGGTTTGGTGCCTTTTTGTAATCTAATTAAATGTTTGAAAATGGTTCTGTTCTCCAAACTTAATTCATTTGATGATAATAACATGTTTTTTCTTTAAAAACAAAATCTGTCCTTAGGTGAGGTTAAACTCAGACCTGAAGCTAGAAAACGACTTCTGAATTATATAAATGAAGAGCCACTAGATGCAAATGGTTATTTCAATTTGGGGATGCTTGCCATGGATGACAAAAAGGACACTGAGGCAGAGATTTGGATGAAGAAAGCCATTAAATTACAAGCTGACTTCAGAAGTGCTTTGTTTAATCTGGCTCTCCTCTATTCTCAGACTGCAAAGGAATTAAAGGCTCTGCCAATTTTAGAAGACTTACTCAAATACTATCCTGATCATATCAAGGGCCTCATTTTAAAAGGAGACATTTTGATGAATCAGAAGAAAGATATAATTGGAGCAAAAAAATGTTTTGAAAAAATCTTAGAGATGGATCCAACCAATGTACAAGGGAAGCACAATCTTTGTGTGGTCTATTTTGAAGAGAAGGACTTACTAAAAGCAGAACAATGTTTGGTTGAAACATTGGCATTAGCACCACATGAAGAATATATTCAGCGCCATTTGAGTATAGTTAGAGATAAAATCGCCTCATCTGGTTTTGTAGAACAACCGATACTCCCAGGTGGTAAAAGTACAGGTGAAGGAGGAGGCAAACTTCCAACTAAAAATGTAAAAGAAGTCAGAAGTGAGTCTAGACCAACACAGGTAACAAAAACAGGTGATGATCAAAGTCAGTCTAAACTCAACAAACAATTGGAGAAAAATACAGACAAAGAGGCCCCCCAAAAAACAAAAGACATCAAAGAAATCGAAAAGAAAAGAGTTGCTGCTTTAAAAAGACTAGAAGAGATTGAACGTATTTTAAATGGAGAATAACATTATTCTTTATCATGTGACAATAGTATCAAAAGACTTTAATCATGTGATTCCTTGTCCTGGGAATTTGACAAATACGGATATGCAACTCTTAGAAGGTGCCTCTGTGTGGACACAAAGTAAAATTTGTCATGTAAGACCTGCCTTAGCCCATGGTATGTGTTACACAAGATATGGCAGAAGGTTTTAGCTCTGGTTAATACAGCAGAAATGTCAAATTGCTGGTGACAGATTTGCAACTTGTTGCATAAGGAAGAATTTTTTTGGCAGGATGAAGTGTTTACCGCTCTGAATTTAAAATAATTTGAGAGTGACTGGTGATCTCTTGAGGGCAACTCTAACACATGCTTTTTTATTCTGTGAATTCCCATTTATTAGCCTGTTTCATTTTCCTCTTACCTCTTGAACCTGGTGATGGGTTGAAAACACCTACTGACACTTTCTTTGGCAATTCTGTTAAACCAAGAAATTTTGCACTACAAAAGAATCCTAATACTAACTTCATTATGTTATATGCTTTGATTTTTAGAGGGAATGCTGGGTAAATGTTTTAAAATGAATCGTGTAACCTGTTAAAGAATGTATTTTCATAATTGTATACTTGTCCCTAATTTAACTTCTAAAAGGCAGTTTTTAACAAGACAAAGTTTGTACACACACATATATACAGACATATACACATATCTGATGGTGCTCATGAATACTGTATTTTTCTTTTTCACATCAAGTGTCACAGTATGAACTACATGATCATGACTGTTCTTTTGACTTTTACTCCCAAATTTTTGTTTCTTAGGGGCATAGTCATGTTTAGAAGTCTTAGTAACTTTCAACTTTTAAGTAATAACAGTAAACTTCTATTTTAATCTTAGTGTCTACTCTCTGATTTTATTTGAATGTTAGCTTTGTTTCCAAAATTACAGCTTAATCATTGTTTGATACCTTAAGCCACTAAACTCACTTCTGTTTAACTGAAGGCAAAACAATGTGATGAAGTTTATTTTTAACACTAAATTCTTGATATCTTCTTGTGGTATATATTTTTATTAAATACTATTTATTTTGACTACTGAGCTTTCATAGAAGTTTTAAAGCTGTTTTAATTCTATAAAGTATAGAAAACTAATTGCTAGTGCATTTGCCTATGTGTGCTATATATATTATGGTTTAAGAAAAATCTCACTTTTGTCATTTATAAAAATAATAGCCTCATATCAGATTAATACATTTGTCATTTGGTTTTGGCAGTTTTAAATCTGGAAAATATGTTAGGTTAAAAGTAGATATAATCAAATTTACTAAACATGATTTTTATTGAGTTAAGATCTATTTCAGATGGATTTTATAATAAAGTTGACTTAGTTTAAAATGGTAAAGCTCAAGCTATTATTCTGGGATAATATGTAATTTCTAGTTATGCAGTATTTCAAAAACTTAGTTCCTTTGAGATAACTAATTTTTAATTATATATGTCTCAGAAACGATATTCCTGTAATTTTTTAAAGAAGTGTTTTACAAATAGGTCACAAGAAGCATGGTCTGCATTAAAGACCTAGGCTTATGGAGTTCCCAGAGGGTCTAGCATAGATTTTTTTTTCCTACTTTCTTTTTTTTTTTTTTTTTTTGCGGGGGTGGGGGGGTGTTGTTTTTTATTTGTTTATTTGTTTTGTTCTGTTTTAAGGCAGTTTAAAGCAAGCACTGATATCAGGGGTTTTAATTCTTGACACAGGAGATTCTGTTACGCATCAGAATCTAGTTTCAGTTCATAGATTAAGGCTTTGTGATTTCGTATATAAGGTGGAGAATACCTCATATACTGTTACTTGAAAAATTAAATTATGTTATTTTGTTCTCTCCATATATCCTGAGGAAAAGTTTCTTGAGTGTAATCTCTTCAGGTGCAGTTTCAAATAAAGGGCAGTCCAGAAGAGTAATAGGAAATCTTTTATCACAGCAGTTTGTAATAAAAGTTTGAGTTGTATTTTAATAACTTGTTGTATCTATTCACATCATAAAAGGTATATATTAATGGTATCCAATGGTTTCTAGTAGAAAATCCTTATTAGTACATAGTGTCTGTCACATAGGAAATATTCATATATTTGAATTTTGAGTAATTTATTTAAATTCATCCCAAATCATTATTACTCAAGTCAGAGATTCTCAATATAGACACCTCATTGTTACATCTAGGAGATGGAGCCCTGCTTCAGAGTTTTCCCTATACTTCTCTGTGATTCTTATTTGTTGTTAGTGTTAAGGACTGCTGCTCTCTTGTGTTAACATGTTAAATTAGTGATATAATCCAATATAGTTTTTGGTTGTTAAAGTTCCATGAAGGAGCATGTTCTGATAACTAATATTCCTTGAAGGAAGATCTCAAGTTCCAACAAGCTTGCTTATGAGTAAGATTACAATGTCTCATCTATGAATTCAAAATAAAAAACTATTTAAATGGTTCAGGTAAGTAAGGAAAGGTAATGGGTTTTTTTCCTCTAGAGCTTCCTTTTTGAAGAGATAATGAGGACAAGTAAACCCAGTTCACTAAGCCATGGTTTGGGAGTTGTAGATGCCTGTAAAATGTGGAAAAGGAAGCCTGTCACAGGTTTATGTCCTGGTAAATGTGTGTAGTTTTAATTCTCACTATTTTGCAAAATCTCCTCCTCCCCGGTAGGCTGTCAGAGCTTTGACCCTCCCTAATGAGCAGTGACACTTTCTTCCTTCACTGCCTCCCAAAATGTAAGATGAAATTTTTCAAGTTGCTCCTATGTGTGTTTCCTTACTAACATTTGGAAATGGGAACTTAAAATTATTCCAGTAAGTAGTATTCTGAAGTTGATGGGGGAGTAAAGTACTTAAATATGTAATTTTATTTTGCAATGTTGTGTTTACTATTCTGTAAATATCTGATAAGTGAATTACATGATTCTAATAAAACCTCATGCCTTTTCATTACATCTGATTTGAGCTCTCAACTTCATATTACAGGATGCTTCTTTAATGATACTTTAATTAAAAATATTAAGAAATATATAGATTTGTATGTCAATTTATACTTCAGAAATCCATATATTTGTCATATTTATTTTTTTTAAAGCCTCCTAATTGCATGACTTAAATGGTATTTAAAATAAACTCTCAAAAGATCTGATAACTTTGTTCAAAATGTAATGTGTTGAAAGTTGTCAGCCATCCATGTTGAGTTCATAAGAAAGTTGTTTTAAAATCATATGCATTTTATATTTCTGTGATGTCTGTGTGTACCATATTTCTTAAATACTTAGTATTAAATTGATACTTTTTAAAACTTTGACTTGCCTTTTAATGTTAATATACATATATATATATATGTATAGTATACAGACATTGCTGCCTTCAAGAAGTAAAAAGGTGGCTTATGGTGTATTAACTAAGTTCTGAGAAGGGCATATATTAAATTAATTGATGTTGATACATTTTCAATTATGAGTGACAGAAACTAAATTATTAAGAAAGCGAAATAGTTAAAATACAGAATTTTGTTCAAGTGTAAGTCTTGCATCTGCATAGGTTCAAATTTTGTAATCATCCCAGTATAATCTAGGGAAAGTTGTTTAGCCTGTATCTACAAATTGAGGAAGCACATTCCTTGTAAAGTTATAAAGATAATTCAGGACTGGAGATTTAGCTTAGCACCATAAGCACCTGTCTTGCAAGCCTGCAATCCTGAGTTTGATCCCTGGTACCGATAATACCAGGGATCAAAAAATAAAAAGATAATTTGTATACTAGATATTTATATACTGTGTATTAAATTGCTTAGAACAGTTGTAGTGTAGTCAGGGTTTACAGGGTTCACATTTAATACAGGACACATAATTTATAGGATTATTCTATAATATTTATCCAGTCAAATGCAAGAGAGTCCCAAGAGATCTGTCCACATGCTAGAGACCCAAAGACTCCAGCTGAGGGCCTGGATTCCATGGCAATGTCCTGAACAAGTCCAGCTGAAGACCTAGAGCCCAGGACAGTGTCTCATGTAAGCCTTTATCAAAGATGTGCACTGGAATGCCCAAAGGTAAGTGGTGAAAGGTAGAAAGTGTACCAGCAGGATGGAGGATCTGCATTGGAACTAGGAAGTAATGCTCAGAGTAAGGACCAGAGCTCCCCCAAAATAGCAGCAGCCATCTGAGCTCTCTGACATTGAGAAGCACTAGATTCATAATAGGAAAGCCAGCATGACAAACTCCGGGAGGATCAGCAGCACACCATATTCCCGCCCCCCCTCCCCCAGTTCTCTTTTTATGTTGTTGTCAGTAATCCTCAGGTGAACTTTCTATACCCAATACCATGCTGATTCAGTTCAGCTGGCTGTTACAAGTTGACCATTAGTTAATCCACCACCAACAGCTCCTGGAAAATTGCAGATAGTGTTTTTAATACGAACACAAAGCTTAAAACCTTGCATTTGATGCATATGATTAGCTTTATATATGTGCTGACAGTTTCAGTGATAGTCATGGTAGCAAATGATTGGAATACCATATTAATATCTGTATTTATTTAATCTAAAATCTAAAATATATTTGGGGCTAAGTTGAAGTGAACAAATGAGAACCAACAGGGAGGTAGCATAAGATAAAATGTTTCTTAAGACTCAATCTCAGGTAAATTCACCTTAGGAATTCATTTTTGTCAGCAACACTTCTGAGACTGTAAGTGGTAGCATGTTTTCCACTGAATAGAATTTGTGTTGTACAAGAACTGATGCCTTCATGTTTCAGCTTTGAATAAACTAGACCAACATCTTAGTTGGCCCTTTCATAAAGGTTTCTTCACTCAGAGCTCAGTCTTCATTGCTTTTCTCTTGTCCGTGGCTTTGGCTTCAGATAATGAGGAAGGCTGATCAAATTAATCCATGCTGAACTGTGAATGAATGGTAACTTTTGTTAGTCAACCTGAAGGCTGGTTCAGGTGAACTGCTTACTTTGTAAAGTGTCAAGCCGTAGAATGGGAGACATGTCAGTGGTAGACTTCTTTATTTCTGAAGAATAACGATCTCAAAAAAGTGTTCTAGCTATGACAAGCTCACTTATCACCACTATCTTGTTTTTGATGGCTCCTAAGAGGCCAGGTGACGGCTTTGAGAGTGGAATCAAAGTAACCAAGTTGTTAGCAGTCAGACCTACGTCCAATAGAAATGTCTATAAAATCAGTTCCTGGGTGGAAGGGGGGATCAATTGCATGTTTAATATGAGTTCTTTTTTTTTTTCCTAGATCATATATTAATAACATGTTTGTAGTGTATATAATACATTTTAGTTCGGTTTTTTAACCTCCCTAACCCTCCTTCCCTCTCTGGATTCTTTCTTATTTTTTGTATGTATTTGCAGTACATAATATTTACCTTCCTTGTGTGGATTTGGCACATGTACATAACATCTTAGTTTCTCATCCTTGCTGTCCACCTTCCTTTCCCCCATCTCATAATATGAGGTGTTTTGTTCCGTTTGTTTTTGACCATTTCCTTCAAGGGATCTGTGGAAGAATCATTTCCTTCAATGGGAGACATTTGTGTCTTCTTTTTCTCTGCCTATCACCCAAATACCAATGTCCTGTACCCACGGTTTTTCGGGGGTAGCAGATAGCGCTTTACATATTCCAGATCTATATCCCAGGCTTTCTCCAAGCTGTAAAACCATGAGTCCAGTGGCCTGCTGAACATCACATACACAGTCGTTTATTCTCCCCTTCTTTCTCTCCAAACCCAAATCCAATAAATAACAACTTGATTCTACCTAAGAAAGAAAAAGAAAACACTGCTTGAAACAGTGGAATGGGTTAAGGAAAATAAAGACCAAAAGGACATGAAAGGTTGCTAATGGCTTACTAACTCAGAATATTAATAGCCAGGTACGGTGGTGCATGCCTGTAATCCCAACCCTTTAGAGGCTGAGGCAAGAGAATTTCTTGAGATTGAGGCTGGCCTGAACTACATAGTGAGTTCAAGCCCTATCTCTAAAAAATTATAAACACGTAATAAATTAGTACAGTAAACATGATTATGAAGCGTAGGTTAAAAATAAATACTACAAAAATGTACGAAGAATGTATAACTTCCAAACCATCAAAAGAAAACTTAGCATAGTAATGAGAAGTAATTAAAGTTCAATGTTATAGAATGTTAGACCCAATGATTAATATAACAATAATTACAATGACTATAGGGATATACTTAACATAAAAGCTTGGAAGCTGAATTATATTTAACTTGATTATAAGTACAAGGCCTATATCAAACATTTAAAAATGATATAGAAAAGTTTAAAAATGTAACCAAAAAGTATACCAGCAAAATATGAACTAAAAGCAGGCTGTGGTAGCAACTTTAATTTAATTTTAAATTTAGAATTTAAGGCAAAAAAGGAGTAAGAGGAAAATGTATAATACATACTAGTGAAATAATAGAACAAAATTTTTGTCCACTGTCAATAAATATGCTACCTAATGATACAATCTAAAAATAATAATATATTGGAATAGATAAATACTTGGAAATTTTAATGAAGGGGCCTCCTTGAAAAAAATCAAGAAGGAAAAATAAGCTAATTAAGACAAGCATAAGTCATAGTAAATGAGTTAAAACCACAAATTCATATAAAATTTCACATTTGACTCATGGAATATGCATTCTTTCCTAACACAAAGAATATTTACAGGCTAGACTATGTATGTCAGGCCACAAAAGTTATGTCAGTAAGTTCCAAACTAGGAAGCTATTTAACCATAACACATCAACATTAGAAATAAAAGCATTGGGCAGGACTTGTACTTTCCTGTAGGACCTGATAGATCAGGGCAGGCTCATACACTATTTTTGTTTTAAGAGATAGATTGAAAGGCATATCAAGTCAGGGAAGAGTGCTTCCTAAAAGAATTATTTCTCTTTCATTATGCATTTGTGAATTCTGGGTGTGGAATGTAAATTTGGCTTCAGTGCAGCGAAAACCTACAGGGAGGAAAGAGAGAGTTGAGGAACTTTTGGATAATCATATGGTATAGCATCATGTCTTGACACCTAGAGAAACCCAAATCCAATCCTCATTCTTCCCATTAAACACATGCTGACTTCTACTATTGACTACTATTGACTACTATTGACTATTGACTTCTACACATGCTGACTTCTACTATTGACTACTATTGACTATTGAGTGTGACTGAAAATTAAAATCTCCCACATTTCCTTTACTTACGAGACAGAATCCTATAGAGAAAATGAGTGAATACCAAGACAAACCCATAAAAACTCCAAGCACTGTTTTCAACAAATAGAGTTCAGTCTAAATTATTTTAGAGAGTACAGTGGCCTCCTTGCACATGTAGATAACTGGGAGGGTAAGGTCCCTAAGACGGAGGAAGAAGAGAAAAAAACAGGTTTGGAGGTAGAGAATAATAATTTTTTTATTGACTGTGGGCCAAGTGATGAACTCAAGCTGACACTTCATTCTCCCAAAGTCTTCATGGACAAAAAAGCTACCTTTTAAGGTTATCAGAATAATTAACTATAATACTAACAATGAAAAGTCATTGTACTTTTCAGAATATTTAGCAATTATCTGCTTAACAGACCTGACTTCTAAGTCCTTGGGGGGGTGGGGGGAAGGTCAACATTCGCTAAACTCAGGAGTTCGGAAGCAATATACAGAATAAATACATTCAGATAAAATATATTCTGTTCAGCTACACTAACAAATTCATGTTTAACCAAAAGTTGAAAAATGTTACTGGGCTAAAAGCAGAATATTCAATTCAATTATTGTACATATTGTTTTATTCATAAGCTGGTGATGTTTGGATGAGTAGCAAAGAAATTAAGCACAGAATAATACACTTAAGGAGCACTAGAATGATGAGAATAAAGGTACACTGCCACATAGAGTAATGTGACTAATATATTGCTGGTATGAAGATAAACTTGCACAACTGCTTTCATTAATAATCTGGAAACTTCTCCTTTATTATCTTATTTTAAAGGGAATAAAACCCAACAAAACAGAATAAAGTCAATAAAAACAAAGCACTGAAAATAGTACAAGAACTTCAAAACAGGATAATAGGAAATCAACAATGGCTACAATAATGTATCTTGCTATCTTCACAGTAGTTGTCCATACCATCAGACACAGCAAAATGAAAACAAAAAAGAACAAAACATAGCACTGAATAAAACAAAACAATAGATCAGAACAAAACAAAACACTGAGAACAATACATTATTATCTTCAAAATAGTTGCTCAGGTTACCAGATACAGGTATAAAACAAA